GCAGGTTGCTGGAGCACCTATTTACTAGCCAGCACAAAAAGCATCCCTACATATTAATTCTATATTCATATATATATATGTATATATCTATCTATCTATCAGAAACAGCTTGCCTGCTATGACTACAAATATGAACGAGACATTTATTTGTTTCAAGCCAGAGTCTCACTATGTAGCTCTGGCTGTCCTGAAACTCACTCTGTAGACCAGGCTGGCCTCTAACTCACACAGATCCACCTGCCTCCTCCTTCTAAGTGCTGGGATTAAAGGTATGCACCACTAAGCCTGGTGACAAACCTTTCAGTCTAAGACTTACACATTTTAGAATGGCTTACTATAATAAACAGCCTATACACAGCAGCTCAATTGATATAGTAACATGCCCAGAACAGAATGCCTGATCTTCTCTGGGCGCCACAAATCTGTTAGTTCCACAGAGTTTTCCATCTTGGTGAATGGCAGCCTCAGCCTTCCAGTTACTAGATCAAAAATCATTATCGTAGTCCTTGACTACTCTAGAGTGACTGCTGGTACATATATTAACAGGCACAAAAGATAACTTCTCTAGAGACTGCATTCAATAGAGAAGTAGTAAGAATAAATATATATCCCAAGTTACATACATAAATTTTTTTTTTCAGAGTTGAGGATCAAACCCTACCTTCCCATGCCTAAGAGGCAGCTCAAGTACCTGAGTATATACATGCATAAAGACATACGCTAGCACTACTACCACACACACACACACACACACACACACACACACAGACCACATAAAAAGCAGAGCGATGTGAAAGTGTAAGAACAGACATGGGAAACAATACTGTTTAAATTTGGCAAGGTCTAATTTTCTCATTCTGAATCCTGCCTCAGACTTTTGAGGATCTATGAAGATACTACAGTGACGGTCCACCCACATGGCTAACTACAAAGGGAATGTAATGTGTCATGAATACGCATGTACTTTTACCTAAGTGTTTTGGATTACAACATAATTCACTTAAAATTACTGAATTTAAAGTCACACCAAATAATTGTTATTATTAAATCAACAAGTGTCAATGTTACAACTATTATAATAAATGATTTCAAGTAGAATTTCTGCATCAAAATAGAAGCATGGTCAGTACAGTACTAGGTGGCATGAGGCAGGAAGATTCCCAGGCAAAGCTAACCGAGCATACCTTTCAAGAATTCATATCAAATCATACCATTGCATTAAAAAATTCTATTGATTCTAGAATTAGACATTTATTTGAACTTTGTCATCGTTTAGGTGAGTGGTAAGAAAAAAGTCTGAATCTGTTTCTTTCTGTAGAGTTGTAATAAAAAAATAGCAACCCTGGGTGGGGTCACAATTAGAGAAACATACAGCGCATATTTGGTGCTCAGCAAATGCCATGTATTATGAAAAGCTGAGCTCAATCTAACTTAAGAACTGGTACTTTTTCCTTGGGCATGATTGTTTAAAAGGGTGTTTTTTCTCCCCCTACCCACCTTTCCTCCTAAATATCAGGAGAAACGAGAAAGCTGTTGCAATGAACCAGATGAGACATACGAAGAGCCGGCAGGTAATTTCTCAAGTATTTGTCTTTTCTTTGTCTATGAATGCTTGTGCCAGGAGAGACCTTTTTTTTAACTTACACTGTGCTATTATCAACAAAAAGTAAACAGATGTCAAGTTCGGTTGGCCGTTTTTAGTTTCAGATCCTAAAATCACTGTGGCTGAACAAGTACACAGAAAACACGGTAAATCCACTTTGCCAAACAAGGCTCTACATATTTTACTCATCCTTTCAAACCCTTACAAAAAAAATCAAATTTGTACATTGTTTTTTCTTTTATAATGGAACGGTAATACAGTGTAGAGAATCACAAAGAACGTCCTTCGCACTTTTAGATCAAGGTTACCGGCAACTCCCAAGCCCAGCATTCCGGTTATGCAGCAGGCAGTGCAAAGCATTTGAGTTGGGGGCTGCTGGGGCTGCGCACACGTCATCACCGGCGCGACGCGCGGGGGCGGGGCCAGCCCTAAGGCGTCCGTGCTCGCCCTCTGAAGGCAGCCGGTTCCCACTCGGCGCAAGGTCGCTGGGCTCCCTCACCAGTAGTCTGGCCCTGCGCGTGCGCCAACTTCCAGTCGCTAGAAGGGCCGAGCAGGTTCGGTGAGGTTCTGACGTCTCCTCTCTGCCGCCATGGCTGAGATGCAGGTGGACTTAGATGGAGAGCCGGGTCCCGACTTTGTGGTAGCCGCCAGGGAAGGACCTGAGGTGTCCTCGTCTGGGACCTCGAAGTCCGAGAACTTTGACAGCAACTGCGTGTTCTGTCGCATCGCGGCGGGCCTGGAGCCCAGCACCGAACTCTTACACTGCGAGGTGGGCGGCGACAGGCCTGGGTGGGTGGGGACCCGGCCGCCTGTCCCGTCTCGCAGCACCATTGCCCGGTGCAGATCAGCAGGACCCAGAGAGTGGCTGACCTCTCTCTGGGACCCAGAAGTGTCCCAGCGGTGCCTTTGCTGCCACTCAGGGAGAGATGGTAGCGGTAGAGCCAGGCACCCTTTGCATGCATCTAAGACACAACAGCACCCTGTGCCCTTGCTTTTATTATAGGGAGCCTCGCTCTTCCCTAGACATTAATTTTAATATGGAGAGGAGACAACTAGTAGAGAACAGATCATGGGCGTGGTGAAGAAGTGTGAGTTTGGCTGAAAATAGGCCGGGGTGTGATTTCAGGACTAGGTCTGAAGTCGAATTGTTACTTAAGAGCTCATGGCTTGTAAGTGACTACACCACTGAAGAAAATGTCTCTTCCGCCTTCCTCAACCTGGAGGGCCTCAGGAACTCTGCCTCCCCCCCCCCCCCCCTTTTCAAATATCGACAGGTTCAGTCCTGGGCAGATCAAGTGCAGGTAATCTTAGCTGTTGAGAGTTCAAGAGTGCAGCAGCCGTGCCATGCCTGGAAATCATTCCACAAAACTCTGCCTTTCCTGGGGCTCTCACAGTCTTTATATCCCATCATGCCTCATAAAGACTTAATCCTTTTAGAGGGACTAATCATCTCGCATTTAAAATTCTCATTACAAATCTATGTGTTCTAAACACCTGAACTAATTGGGCTTATATAAGGTGTGGTATACGTATATAGTTAAGGGCAGAGGAAATTATTTGATTTTGAATAATCAGGGCTACCAGCAATCATGAAGAATTTGTCTGGGAAACCTTTCCAATAAAAGACAGAAAATTCTTCAACTCACAGATCTTTGTAAAGTTCTCATATTGTATTTTTAGAATTCACTTAAGCAAAGGATATACCACATATTTTGAGCGAGGGCCGTACCAGCTCCAGGGGCAGTGTCTTATTTGTGTGTGAGGCACAGGTACACATAATACGTAAATGCTATGGCTGGTATTCATAGCTCATGGTATTGATAGGAGTTATCTTTAAGGATCTCTTAGAAAGAGCTCAGTGATGGTGGTACACTCCGCCCTGTGTCCTTGCTTTTATTATAGGGATCCTTTACATTCATTTTAAGAGCTATTCAGTACTTTATTGTGCAGTTTTACCAAAGCTGTTAGCTATGGACAATTGGCTTCTTTCTTTTTTTTTTTTCCCCCTCTGGGAAGTCATACTGTAAAGAACAACTGTAGCCTGGTGATGCTGGTGCATGCCTTTAATTTCAGTACCCAGGAGACAGAGAAAGTCAGATCTGTGAGTTCAAGGCCAGCCTGGCCTACAGAGAGAGTTCCAGGACACAGAGAAACCCTGTCTAGAAAGAAAGAGAAGAAAGGAAAACAAAACAAAACTGTGTGCCTGGAGGTATAGCTCAACAGCAGAGCTTGTCAAGTGTGTAAGCATGTGAGGCCTTGGGTTTGATCACCAGCACTACAAGAAAGAAAAAAAATGCACATATGTATACACACATATAATTTCAAATTTTTGGCAACATATTCTTGGAATTGGATTTTTAAAAAAATAATGGTTGGTTCGGTAGTACCAATAGAAGACCACAGAACCAGTTTCAAAATTTTAAAAGCTTAGTAGAAATGCAGTTAATAGCTGAGTGAAATACCAAGTTTCTTTGCCTTTAAACTTAGAAACAGTTTATGTATCCTGTGAGTGGGTGGTGTATGTGTACAAGTGTGTATGTGGAGGCAAGAGATGAGTGCCAGCTGTCCTCCGGCTGCTGTTAACCTGACTGCCTGAGGCAGGGGCTCTCACTGAACCGGAAGTGTAGATTTGGCTGGAGTCAGTGGCTCAGCAGAGCCCTCCAGCACTGCTGCATCTGCACCTGACTTTCCATGTGGTGCTGGGGATCTGAAGAGGGTTCGCAGGGTTTGCAGCTCGCACTTTAACCGCTGAGCCATCTCCCTAGCCCAGGATTTAGTGGTTTTATCTTAGCCTTTTCCAGATCATTCCATCAGTATCAGTGCTTATATCAGTTCCTTAGAAAGGCTGTTTTAAAATGGATCAAAATGTATGTTTGTGTTTGTTATCTTAGATAACTAACACTAATTGTGTGGGCATGAGGTTCTCATGATACTGAATTCTGATTCCTGGAATAGATAATTAATGGATAACAGTACATTCAGGGGATTTTGCTGAGAAAAAACTATGTTTTTTGAATTAACTTTTAATTTTTTTTTGAGTGAAGAAACCTTAAAGTAGGGATGGGAAAACGTATAATGAAAATTAAAACAGATATATATATATATATTTTTTTTTTTCTGTGAAGGGTTTCCTTGTATAGCCCTGGCTGTCCTGGAACTCTCTCTCTGTAGACCAGGCTGGCCTTTGCCTTCCTAATGCTGGGATTAAAGGTGTGCACCACCACTGTCACCATCATCACCCCCACTAAAACTGAGATTCTGATAAGAAAGTTTTAATGAACCTTAGTCATAATTGTTCCTTGAAATTGACTTAATGTCATAAATTCCTCATGACAGACGCTAAAACTTGTTTTTTTTTTTCAAATTTAAGTAAGGCACAGTTATGAAATTGCTCATTAGGCTTAAATTGTAATTTAAACACCATTTTCCTTCCATAGATCTGTAGTGGTTAAGTCACAGCTGAGCATAGCAGTTTTTGGGAAGTTTGGTGTTTTAATTTACTAACAAATGTGCCTTTCTCTTTAGAATGAAGACCTAGCTTGTTTCAAAGATATCAAACCAGCGGCGCTGCATCATTATCTTGTGGTGCCAAAGAAGCATGTGATAAACTGCAAGGATCTAAATAGAGATCAAATAGAATTGGGTAAGATATTCACAGTATTCCTTGTGGCTGCATCACACTGAGTTGTCTTTAAATACAGCACTGACAATTAAAAAGGTCTAGTCAAATAATCAAAGAGAAAGTAAGACTCCTTGAAACATTCTGTTTAAATAAACAATTAAAAATAACACCACGATTTTCTGTTTGTCACACTAAATTAGTAACTCATGGCCATATTTTTTGGTTATATATATATATATCACACCAAAAAATTAACCAGCCACAGTGGATTTGAAACCAATTTTAGATATGGTAATATTTAATTTTTTAAATCTTTCAAGAGATAATGAATGGTGCTTTATACTATCGTATTTTTAAGACAAGCTCTCAGTATCTTGGTTCGAGGTGGCATCAAACCCACAGAGATTGCTTGCCTCTGCCTCGAGAGTTCTGGATTAAAGTTGGGCATATGCTGCCATGCCTGGCTTTGCTTTGTGCTTTTTTAAATGATGGTTTTCCTGACTTTGAGGTTGATTATGTGATGAGAAGTTATAAACAAGTTATGATGTATTACGAGTGTATGCTCCCTGATAGTGTCAGATGCAGGTAAGTCAGCACCATAGTTTAGTTTTGGGTTTGAATTTTTTGATTCTGAAAGGGAGATTTGAATTTTGTTTCATTCATTTATTCTGTATTTCCTCCTCAATGCTTTCTTTGACTTTTTTCTGATATCTTTTCCTAAAATATTTTGCAGTTTATTTCAAGTTTGTTTTAGCAGCCTTTCTCACCAGGGTCTTGGATTACTTCGGCCGCACTGTCTGATGGCCTATAACAAAGCTAAATCAGGCCAGACATTCTGGAGATGAATGAGAAAACTCTTACATGGAAAATCGTGAGGTAGTATTATTGTTCATGAGCTTGTAGGTGACTTGTTTGTGATTGTAGGTGCTTGTAGGTTACCAGTTTGAAACTTGTTTCTAAATACTATGAAATCCTTTAGTTATCTGGAGTTCATGTACTTTAGAACATATATGATTTATTACTACAGGGTAACATTTACACATGTAGACATAATATTTAACCTATACTTGATTGATTATGTATTTGTTACTAAATGTTTCTATTTCATTCTTTGGCTATTTCTTAGAGACCATATAACCTCTTAGGAAGTTTTATTTTAACTTCAAGGTAAGGTAACTCTATGGAGATTAGAAGCTGCTGTAATAACTACTTAATTATAGCTCGTACATATCAGAATTGTAACTGATGAAGCTGGCTGCATTTGAAGTTTCATTATATTGTCTCCTCTCTACCTTTATTTGAACATTTTCATATCAAAATCTTTAAAGTTGTTGTACTTAACTTTTATGTAATTTATAAAGTGAGAGAAATAATATGTACCTGGAAAATTATAAACGAATTTATAATTGTCACATCCACCTACTGTTATTGAGACTCACGGATTTCAAGAGCACATGTTCACAAAAGTAGACCATATTCTAAGCATCAAAATAAAGTAGCATTTAATGTGTTTGAAATCATACAAAATATATTATCTGAAGGTGATGGAATTAAATTAGATATTTAGCACAGCAACAAATAGTTTTTTGTTAAACAGACTTCCAAATAGTTCTTAAACGTTAAAATTTGTGGACTATAGCTAGTGTACCTGGAGGAAAATTTGAATGCTAATGTTAGAAAATAAGTTTTAAGGCACTGGAAAGGTAGCTCAGTGGTTAAGAGTGCTTCTTGCTCTTCCAGAGTTTTTTTTTTCTCCTAACATCCACTATTTTTGGTTGCTCACAATTGCCTATAACTTCAGCTCCAGGGGATTTGACACACTTTTGGCCTCTATGGTCATCTTCACTCATGTGTCTGACACACGTGTGTGTGCGCGCACACACACGCAGAGGCATACACATATAAATAAATCTTTTAAAACAGAAGAAAGTGACTTTCAAAATCAGTAACTTCAATGTCTGCTTTATGACACCAGCAAAAAGGGGGCTGAAGAGATAGCTCAGAGGTTAAGAACACTTACTGCTCTTCCAGAGGACCTGGGTTTGGTTCCCAGCACCCACATGGCTGCTTATAACTGTCTGTAATTCCAGTTCCATGGGATTTGACACCTATTCTGACCTCTGTGGGCTTTTACATAGTACACAGACATACACTTAAACACATACAAACACAAAAAAATAAAATAATTAATTTAAGAAAAATACCAGGAAAAGGTAAGTAAAGACAAAATAAGTACCTAAAAAGAAGTAAAATTTTATTGAGTGTACTATATACCATAGTATAATATAGTTTCTTTCCTGTCTTACAGTTGAGAGCATGGTAGCTGCTGGAAAAGCTATTCTTGAAAGGAATAATTTCACCGACTTCACAGATGTGAGGTATGTATGTTTTGGGTAGAAACTAACCTTAATTACTGGTTTTTCTGCAGTTTGCTTTTCAGGAGAAGGGAAGCAGCAGTGGCAGAATTTATGCTTCAGGTGTAGTATTCCTAGGAAGGAGGAACTGAGAGGACAAATTCAAGTATTTCATTAAATTTAATACATTTCATCAAATTTAAGTAATATCATCGATAATATAAATTTTATACTTTTTTCATGCCTCAGCATCTTCTGAAAAGCTTGTAGTTTGGACAGACAAGTATATGTTGCTAAAATAGTTACAAGTCTTCCCTTTTTGTAGTTTTGTATGTTAATTCCTATAAAATTAGGTAAAGTGAATTTACTTACACAGACTTACATAGTTTAAAAATACAACGTTGGGAGTAGGAGATAGTTCTGTAAGAGTGCTTTCAGTGTAAGCCTAAGGTCCCAAGTTTGTGTGCCTGTAATTCAGCTCAAAAGCCAGGCATGGTTGTATGCTTACCTGTAGTCCTCATAGAGTTGGGAGCAGAGACAGGAGCATCTGGGCTTGCTGGCTGCCGGTCTAGCTCCAGGTTCAGAGAAAAGTCGTGTCTCAAGACATGATAGATCATGACACCCAGCCACACATGTACACACATACTGTTACTAGGCTTCTAGCAAAAATCTAATTTGAACTTATTGCTTGCTGAGCTGAACTCTAAAATTTAACAAAGTTTGAACAAAACCCATAGAATTCAATTGATTTTAAGAGTTTAAATGCTTTTCTATTTAAAAGAATGATCTTATAAATGTTTTGTAAATTAAGAAATTATGGACAAATATCATGTAAGTTGTTTTAGTATTTAACAAGAACCTTATCTGATGACAAAAGGTTTTTTGTTTGTTGTAGTTTGTTTAATGGTCTTAATACAGAAATGTTGGATCTTTTTCAAAAGTGAAAGCCTGCCATCTACTGGCTATGCCTTAAAGGAACCCTCCCTGAATGTCTAGTACATTTCCTTTGAGGTTCATTATAGAAACCTGTCTTTGCAGAGTTAAGCTTATTACGCTAAGTACCGAAGTGACTAGTGATAATGCAACTCACACTTTCTAGAGGTTATATGTAGCATTCTTTGATAAATGGTGTGAATTGTCTATGAACTTCAGCATGAGGGACTTTGGGACTACTTGAGCATAAAGAAAACAATAAAATATCTATGAAACAATAAAAGATCTATGAATGGAAATTTGCTCACCTTGGATAATTTTAATTGTATATGATTTAAACGTAATTTCAAACTAATTGAGAAGTGACTTGTCAATAATCTGTTCTGTTTCAGGATGGGCTTCCATACGCCACCATTCTGTTCCATTTCTCATCTGCACCTTCATGTTATAGCACCAGTCAAAGAGTTTGGCTTCTTATCCAAATTGATGTACAGGCCAAATTCTTACTGGTTTGTCACAGTAAGTAATACTGTTATGCCAGCAGCATTCCAGCATATTTAAAGTGTTTGTCCCTTTAGTTTTTGTTTTGCTTTTCTTGATAGCCCTAGACAGACGCAGACTTATGTTTGGCTTGACCACTTATTTTAACAAAATGCTCCCAGAAAATGTATACATTCATTTATTAATTTATTTATTTTTGCATTGATGAATATTGAACTAGGGTTTTATTATGCTAGCAGGCAGCATTTTTTTCTATTAATATATCTCAACCCCACCCACACCTCTGAATGAGGTCTTGTTTATCATCTGGACGGGCCTTGAAAATGTGAGTCTTCCTACCATAGTCTCCTGAGGGAGCTGGGATTATAGGCTCATGCTACAATTCCAAGTTCCAAATAATATTTTTAATTTGAGAAGTTTTCTGAGCAATCTGATTCTATAGCATGAGAGGTAGACATATATAGAAAAGCAGAGCTTTAAGAATTCAGATCTGGGCCGGGTGGTGATGGCAATTTGCCTTTAGTTCCAATATTTAGGAGGCAGAGGCAGGTGGATCTCTGTGAGTTCAAGAGTAGCCTGGTCTACAGAGCTACTTCCAGGACAGCCAGGACTACACAGAGAAGCCCAGCTCTAAAAGCAAACAAATAAAAATATCAAAGTAAAACAAGAATAAAAAAATGAATTCAGATCTGGATTTCAATTCTGGCTTTTCTTACTTGAAAGTTCATATACAGATTTTTTTTTTTCAAAGCTCATGTTCTTGCTTTGAAGTACTGGGGGATTGAATGCATTTCCTCTGCTTGTACATACTCACAGCCTTTCTTCTTATCACATCCCTATGTAGTGGTATGCGTATTACAATAAAAAACCAACAGTGACATGTCATCTCTTCCCAAAGGCCTTAGCTTCAGGATCCACTTTTACTGCTATGGTTTCTGTAGGTCTTGTCAAATATGCGATGTGGGGGCTGGAGAGATGGCCCAGAGATTAAGAGCCCTGGTGCTCTTCCAAAGGTCCTGAGTTCAATTCCCAGCAATAATATGGTGGCTCACAACCATCTATAATGAGATCTGGTGCCCTGTTCTGGCAGAAATGGAGACAGAACATTGTATACACAATAAATAAATAAATCTTATATATATATGTGTGTGTGTGTGTATGTATGTATGTATGTATGTATACACCATTGTAGGTTCACACAGAATAGATTCACTTCCCTAAAAATCCTCTATGCTTTGCTGTCTGTTTTAGTCTCCTTTCTATTCCATAGCTACCACTGATCTTTTTAATGTTTCCAAAATTTTCTCCCTTCCTTCCTTTCCTCCCTCCCTCCCTCCCTCCCTCCCTCCCTCCCTCCCTCCCTTCCTTCCTTCCTTGTTTTGACACATGGTCTCACTGTGGAGTTCTAGCTCTCATGGAACTTAGATCAGGCTGGCCTTAAACTCACAGAGATATGGATGCCTCCGACTCTGGAGTGCTAGGATTAAGGCATATGCCACTGCACTGGGCCTTCACATTTTTTAATAATTGGAATCCCACAGGCTACAACCTTTTTAGAATGACTTATTTCATTCAGTAATGTGTACTTGTTTCTTATATATCTAGTTTAAGAAATCATTAATATCGCATTTATTTTTCTTTTCTAGTGGAAACTTTTTAGTATTTAATGTCCCTGTCAATCCTCCTGTTTTTATAGAGTACATTTACTATGGTTTATAACACTATGTCATTTCTTTTTTGTAAGATATTTTTATGGATAAAATATGTACTTCCTTGCACTTTGGTGTCACAAGGACAGTTATCTAACAGACACAATGATACATAGAATGAACCATGTTTATGTTTATTCTTTTCTTTATTACAGGTTGAATGTTTGCTTGAAAAGCTAAAAAAAATGTAAACCATGGACAAGTTCTTTAACCTGCCTCAGGATGAGCTACTGTCTTGCTCTCTTTGAAGGCTAATTGCTCTCTGAAAGTTTGCTGGGTTATACACAACACTACCACTGAGTAGCCTTACATTTTTCTGAATATCTGTTTTCTTACATCATCCATATAGCTATGTGAGAACTTTCTCACTGATTTCTTTGTTTTAATGATCATTTGTGTAGGGTTTATGCTTAAGGTACTATAGCTAAAAGTCCATTTAATGCAAATTCTGTTAATCAAGATATATCCCATATATATTTTTTTTAATTCAGGCTTCTTTTACTCAAGCTCTTAATAATAATTTATGATGAATAAACTGGGATTAAAAATCAGAACTTTTATTACAGTGAAGGAGAAAAAGAAATTAGCCATTTTATTATAGTTCTGCATTCTTACACATAAATTTTCAAAACAAAGAATACCATGCCACCACTGTACTCTGATCTTGATGATAATAACAGTTATATATGTCACACACACACACACACACACACACACACACATACACACATGCACACACTTGTTAGTATTCTCTTAGCCATCAGGAAGATATTCTCCAAGTCTCTCAGTGAGTACCTGAAACCCAGGATAATACTAAACCCTATAATGTATCCTGTGCTTTTCTGTCATATGCATACCTTAGATAGATAGAGTATAACAGGCACAAGAAGAGATTAGTAACAATCATAATGAAATAGAACAATGATAGTAGTGTACATTTAAAATACTGCCAATGTTCATGATTGTGCTTTGTTCCCATAGTAAGTTGAATGCAGCTACTGTGATGCTATGACAGTTAATCGAATAACTGGGGTGGTTACTATAAGTGGGTAATGTATACAGACAGTGTGGATGATTCTTATCACAGGTGGGATAGATAGAGTAGGACGGTGTGAGATTTCATTTTTATGTACAGAATTGCATGTAATTTAAGAAGTATGAATTGTTTATTTCTGGCACTTTCATTTAATATTTTGGGTTAACCGTAGGTAACAAAACTATAAAAGTTAGATCACAGAAGGTGAAGCTTTAGATGAGAGGGAACTACTTTAATATAATTCTAAATGAGAATTTATAGTAACCAGCAACATGGTTATCTTAACAAAATTTATGTGCAGTTTTACCCATTAAGAGACAAGGAAGAAACACAAATTAGTATTGTACAAAAACTGACAGATACTGTTGTCATATGTATTTTTTTTTTAATGAAAGGAAAACAAAAGTAAATAGTGGCTAGATCCAGTCTTACTGTGAAAAAAGACTTGATTTGAATGTAGAAAGAGACATAGATAAAAACGTTTGTCATGCTAACAGTGCTAACACTGCCGGCATATCATTTAGTTAGTGTTTATTGGCAGTTGTCCTTTAGAGGTGTCCACACACGGTAGTGACTGAAGGGAGATGAGGTGTTGAAAGCTAATTCTACATGTGCCAATGTCAAATAGTATTATGTATATAAATGTAAAGACTAATACATTAAAGAAATCTGCTGAGATTTTTAGTTTTCGTTTCTTGTTTTGGCATGATATTACGCGATTTTAAGTAACAACACTTATTACAGTTCTTGGTTACAATATCTGTAATCAGGTGTTCTCTACTAGGATTAAAATTCATTAATTCAGCAAATAATTTTTAATATTTAATGAGTACCAAACACTGCTGGGAAGTAAAGAAATGATAGCTGTCAGTATACATTCAGTTGGCAATGCTATGGGAGTAAGACAAAAAGGATTTATTTGATTTTAGTATGTTAAGTGTGGTAATGTCGATAAAAGAGGTAATGAAAGGGAGACCACTGATGAGAATAGGTAATAGGTCACAAAAACAGAAATTGAAGACTCAGCGTTAGGCAGATGGTGGGAAAGCGGAGAACCTTGAGTTCTGTTTCCACTGTTAATTTATACAAAGGTCTGACAGCTTATTCACTAGAAGATGGATAAAGGGATTTCCATGTAGGGGCTATGTGCTCTCAGAATTAGATTTATAGGCTTTATAGCACTCCCTTGTATAATAGCTTTCTGATCATTTGTATAGCTAACAATCATGTTTTTTTTTTTCTATACCAATAAAATTATGAGAAACTTTAGGAAAAGTACAACCTTTGAATGTTTTACTCTAAACTTGCAATGATGTAATTGACCTCATTAATGATAGTACATGAAAGGTGGTTAAGGGGCTTTTCAAATGCCTTTGGGGACCTTTAAAATATTATTAACTGGTTGATTCTGTTTGTATAGGTTTATATCCTCTCACAGGGGCTCAGTGGGCAATGGTGCTTACTGGCTGATAATGAAACCCTGAGGACCTGTGTTGGATCTCTAAACTGCAGTGCTTGTTTTTAAAACTCTACTTTCTTTGGGGGGGGGGGGACACTTATGCCTCTACCTCTCCTCCAACTTCCTAACCCTATGTAGGAGAGAGTTTAGTGGGGAGAGGGGATGCAGACCCCTTTACTTCTCCCAGCTGTTTAGGGTCAATGATTCTTTTTTCCCCTACTTTTTAATTTTAATTTTATTTTTAATCTATTTTTTATTAATTACAATTTATTAATTTTGTATTCTAGGTGTAGCCCCCTCCCTCATCCCCTCCCAATCCCACTCTTCCTCCCTTTTCTCCTCTCATGACCCTCCCTCAGTCCACTGATAGAGGAGGTCCTCCTCCCCTTCCATCTGACCCCAGCCTATCAGGTCTCAACAGGACTGGTTGCATTGTCTTTCTCTGTGGCCTGGTAAGGCAGCTCCACCCTCAGGGTGAGGTGATAAAAGAGCAGGCCAATCAGTTCATGTCAGAGATAGTCCCTGTTCCTATTACTTGGGCACCCACTTGGACACTGAGTTGTCATGGGCTACATCTGTGCAGGGGTTCTAGGTTATCTCAATGCATGCTCCTTGTTTGGAGTATCAGTCTCAGAAAAGACCGCTGTGTTCTGATTTTTATACCCTCCTCCAGTCCTAGACCACACCCCTTTCTGAGAGAGGCACTAAGTAGGCTGTTACCAGCTGCCAAAAGACAAGCTGCACACAAAATAACTATCAGCTGTGGGGAAACTAAAGCTCAAACTAAAATCCCATACTTTGGGTTAAAAAAAAAAAACATAGTTACATAACAACTGAGTTTATAAAGCAATCAAAGCGTCTATTACCCTGATCCTATGTAAAGATGGCAAAAGAAAAGAAAGGGCTCTACAAAGTTGTCTTCTGACCTGCACATATGATCCCCATACATTATAAATGCACACATACACTGATACCAAAATTAAAAAATGAAAGAACATTTTTAGTGTACACTTTCTTTACTTACAAAGAAGAATAATCAAATTACAGTTAAAATCCAGTTAGCCCTTTTTGATAGTTTTCAGTTACTTTTTGGTAGTTTACAGATCCATGACATCTGCTCAGAGCAAAACTAATTAGCAATGTGTCCTATTCCTTGGTCTATTGCTGTGAAGAGATACCATGACCAAGGCAACCCTTACAAGAGAAAGCTTTTAATTGGGGGCTGTTGTGCAGTTTCAGAAATTTAGTTATTGATGTGGTGGCATGCAGGCAGCTGTAGAGCAGTTGCTGAGAGCTGCACCCTGATCCATAGGCAGAAAGGGAAGCATTGGGCCTGCGTGAGCTTTTGAAGCCTCAGAGCTCACTCCCACTGACACGCTTCCTCCAACAAGGCCATACCTAATCTTTTTAATCCTTCTCAAACAGTTCCATTCCTTGACTATGCATTCATATATATGAGCATATTGGAGCCGTTTTTGTTCAAACCACTACATAATTTGTCTTTTAAATGTTTAAAATAGGGCAGGTGGTAGTGGTGCCCAACTTTAATTCCAGTACTCGGGAGGCAGAGGCAGACAGATCTCCATGAGTGCTAGGACAACCATGGCTTTTTTTTGTTTTGAGAAACAACAACAACAACAAAAAAAATAGTAGTGATAACATTACTTATGTATGCTGTGATACTAATGTATAATTGTAAAATTATTATGATAAAGTAATGAAGGAAATGAAAATAAAAAGAAGTAGTATGTGAGATTTTGCTTCTCTGGACTTCCTAAATATTATTAAAATCCAGAACTCAAATCAAAGGTGTTTAATAACTCGGCTGAATTGTATAAAATTTTTACTATTGGAGATGGAGACATACCTTTTCTCTCACATAAAGAAACAAAGATCAGATGTTCTAAGTTACTGTTCTATTTATAAAGAGACACGAAGGCACCTCTTATAAAGTGTTTAACTGGGGGCTTGCTTACAGTTTAGAGAGTTAGACTGTGATCATCATAACAGGAAAATTCCTATTTTGGCTTAAATCAACCTAATGAAAATGGCTTTGTCCATTTCTGATTAAGGAGAGCTAGTCCCTCACTATTCGGTTAGCTATTTAAAACATCACAAATAAAATGGAGCCTCGTTCATTAATCATGCATTGATTAAAGCAATCCCTAAGCTAGATACCATTCAAGTAGTATCATACTCAGGATGTTTTCTATCTTCAATCCATTCTTCTGTTTGGCATTGACAACCCCAGTCGTTCAGTGCTCAAACCAGAAGTGTGGGACTCAATCCTAGACACTATTACACTTCATATCTAACCGATCTCCAAGTCTGATGACAGCATTTTCATAATTTGGCCATTTCCTATCAGTACTGTACTGCTGCGATCATGACCCGTATCATTTCTCACCTCGATTATATCAGCAGCTTCCTTCTGGTCTCCCTGCCTTTATTCTGGCCCTTCAGAACATACTACACAAATAAGTATAACTGTTTGCAGGAATGTCTTTTCCTCAGATTTGTGCAGGTTTTGGCACCATGTACTGTCATGATGGGACCAGAACTTAAAAGTTCTTCCTTGCTTTTAGGGCAACATCTGTTTTTGCTGACACTCATCCTTTCTTCTTTTGAACATTCTAGACTCATCCCTGGGTTCTACACCTCTGCTTTCTCTGTTTGAGAACTTTCATCAGAGATTTTGCTAAATCAAGTGGCTAAATTACTAAGTTGGCTTTATGGTATATAGTTCAGGGGGCCAGGCTTATGTGTGGTCTTCCATTTAACACACATACACATGCACTAAATTGATCATGTAATTTTCTTGGCTCTTTCAAAACTTCAGTCTTTATCCTCAATATTACTCATCAGTGTTTTTAGCTTCTCTTTCTGAATTTATATGCCATGTACCAGTCATTTTTACTGTTATAACAAAATCACTCCTTTGGAAATCTTTTACCCCTTGAATTCCAAGTCCACACCTGACTTTGTGAGGTCTTCTGTGATACCTTTCATTTCTAGCTGTAACAGTACACTTTCTGCAGCTCCCATATCCAGAATTTCATTTTCTCAGCATAGGCTTTTTATACATTATAGCCAAAATATGGTGGAGGTGCTTCTTACCATTGGATTTTGATGTCTTTTTACTTCATCTTTCTATATCTGTTACTGTAGTGTTTTATTTATATATCTGGTGGCAAGTCCACAATCTCCCTCTGTACCTTGTGATGCTGATAATGTTACCATAAAAAATTTAAGTATTACCAAGGACCCTAATATCAGTTAGTTACTGTTTATTGCTGTGATAAAACACCATGGGGAAAGCAACTTACGAGTGTTTATTTTGGGCTTACGATTCTAGGGGTTAAGGGTCAGTCACAGTGAAGAAGCATGGCAGCAGGCAGGCACAGTGGCTGGAGCAACAAGCTGAGAGTTTATATTTTAAACTTCAGCACAAACTTGAAATGGTACACATTTTTTAACTTTTAAAAACTGGTTCTCAATGACATACTTCCTTCAGCAAGGCCACACCTCCTAAGCCTTCCCCAAACAGTATCACCACTGGGGAGCCAAACATTCAAATGCCCCAGTGAAGCCATCACCCTCAGGTAACTTTCAATCCAAAATCAATATGATATCTTCCTAGCATTGCTTACCTGGCAGCATTCAGATCTGTAATAATTTAAGTGAAACTTTGAGTTTCTAAATCCAGCCATGATAGATATTTAAAGAATTTAATAACTAAATTAACAAGGCTATAAGAAAATGTCATCTAGCTTCTGTCACCTTGCTGACTTTTATTTCTCTCAACATGCCTTTAGAACAAATTTCTCTTTTCTTTAGACTCATTTTTAATGTTCTTTGAAGCTTTAGTTTTAGCCAACATTCCTGGCCTACATGAAGTCATGCCATTGGACTGAGCTAAGCTGGGTACTTCCAGCTTAGCTCAACCAGGCAGACATATTTATTTGTAAATGTGTAGCCCTCCATTGATTATTATATTTGAATCATGGCAGAATTTAAGGATGAATGAGGGAAAAAGGTTTCTTCCACCTTTCCTCCCGTCCTCCTTTTTTTTTTTTTCCCCTTAACACGAAGAACTCTGTTAGCCAGTAGGGAATTGTCTGCATTAGGGCCTCAGATTAGTCTTGCAATCAAGGGGCGGAAGTTATTTGCACATGCCCTCATGCCTGTGTAAAATTTCAGTCCTAGGACATATGAAGAGAACTTCTCTTCTCATTGGTTCTCTGTGGTGCCCAATCCCATTTTAGGTGTTGGATGTTCAGCCTGAGACAAATGCATGCATGGTTTTGGCATTACATATGACCTCTTTTGTTGGGACTTGCTAACTTTTTATTTCTTTGATTTTGTATCCTATTAGTCCCATTCCTGAAGTGGCATATTACAATCACTACACACTCCTCCCTCCAATTCCTGACACTTGTTTCCTGGAAATGGCCTTTGAGTCTTTAATAGGTAGCAGTGCCAGGATCTTCACTAGTTGTAGAATATCAGTCTTGAGGAAGGAATCAAGTTTCTAAGAGGCCTGCTATATTTCTTTCACAAATATCCGATCTTATTGGTTTAGGACTCAAAGCCCTTATCTTATAAATAATTTGGGGCTTTTTCTAATCCTGGGCATAGTCACATAGCAAATGATTTATAACTACAACTCTCAAAGTTCTGAGACAGGCAAGTGCCAGCCACCAGCTCTGGTAGAAGGTCCTCATGCTTCCTGCTTGTCTGTAACAGATGAACTTTGAGGACACCTCATAGTGAAAGTGGGCCAAAATAGTTCATTTCCTATACTGGAAATCCTGGCAAGTCTGGACATATGTCACATGACATTGGAAAAACCTCGGTCACCTCTTAAGATTCTGGGTCTAATTAGTAAAACAACTGAAGAACAGACAAAAATGGAAGCTTGAGGACAAAAAACTAGCTCAAACAGAACTGGGACCATTTACTGAACTTTCAAAGAAAAACTCCAGGGCAGCTAAACTGGATGTCTTGAAGCTGCATGGATGTGAAAGCAAGTCAGCACATGGTGGCAGGCAGCTACTATTGGGAGGGGAGCTTTAAGAGCAAGGTAGCCCAGACATTTGTTAAGAGAGTTTAAAAGCATACTTAGGCTCTGGCTACCACCTAAAAGAAAAAAGAAAGGAAAGAGAAGAAAGAAAGAAAGAAAGAAAGAAAGAAAGAAAGAAAGAAAGAAAGAAAGAAAGAAAGAAAGAAAGAAGAGAAAAGAGAATAGTTACGTCGTTCCACTCAGAAAGGCAAATAGACCCAGCAGACTATTCTTGTAGCTGGTTCTTAGGTACTGCACCAGAGAGTGGGAATGCTGGATAGGCAAAGTACATCCACCTCCTCGGCAACAGGTTATCCTCCATCCCTGCTGGGTTAAAGCTTTTCAGGTGTGGCCTGTTGGGGTAGGAGTATCCACAGCCATGTGAGTAAACCCTCGGCAATACTCATAAATCCAATAATCACTGGTTCCCTAGAGTGAATTTTGGTGATACTGTGCCTTGGTTTGATGTTGGTACATTGGCAGACACTAACAAAGTCAATCCCCTGCAACCCCCGCCATACATACACACCCTTTTTTGTTTGTTTTTAAGCAGGAATTTTCATTAAGAACAAACAAACCTTTCCTGGTGCTATTTATTGGCCTCGTGCAATAGGCTGTAACTGAAGTGTGAATATTATGACACCTACTCCTTGTAACAATCATCTGTAGAAGACAATATTCTAGTTTTTATAAGAAAACTGAGGCTGTTGCAAAATTTGTTGAGAGCATAGGGATAGAACTGAGGTTTGAGTTATGAGGGTTACCACTGTGTATGGGGACGTTTTGATCACTGCCACTAAGCATCAATTTCTGGCACTTGGTGCTGGGAGAAGGAAAATACATTGTATATTATCAAGGAGGACTGCAACCTCTCCCGTAAATACCTGTCTCAACGGGACAAAGGGTTCAGTATTTTTCTAAGTGATGACACGTGTACAATGTATGAATGGGTAGTTAATGTGTCTTACAAACTGTGATGGTATTAGGCCCATCTGAATAATTAGGGCAACTTCCATCACGTTTCTAATCCACCATTGGCTGTAGATTGACTGTGTGCCTTTAACAACATAGCATAGTAATTACTGAGTGCTAGTCTGAGGAATGTTTTTGTTGGTTTCTCTACAGAGCAAGCCACAGTCACAGGCCCTTGACGGCTCTTGAAGTTTTTGCAAAATCACTCAGTGTTAAAGCCTGGTGCAGGCGAGGCCTAAAATCTTGGATGGTTAGGAGTCTTAGACCGGACAATGATTTTGGTCTAATTTTGGGTTGAAGAGCTGAGGGGAGGGGTCGGAAGTACCCTCCAAGTGGAGCCTCACTGGGGAACTGCGCGGGATTACCGCAGTCTGCCCTTTAAAACAATGCACCTCTCACAGAGGGTAGACGCCGGGACAGCCGCAGACTCTGACGAGCTCCTGCTCTACCCCGCCGCCCTCCTTCCCAGGAGGTGCAGCAGGCCTGTGCTCCTGGCCGAGCTTCCGTTTCCGGCCCCGGGCTAACCCTCAGCGGAAACCTGGCTCCTGGGAGGAGAAGGGGCGGGCCCGCGGAGGCCGCGCAGGCGCACGGTGGCAGGCGCCATGGCGCCGCCGGGCTCCGTGAGTCGGTACCTGCTGCTGATGGCACAGGAGCACCTGGAGTTCCGCCTGCCGGTGAGCCGCCCTGGGACACCCGCACTCTGCACGCGCCGGCCTGGGGTGGGAGTGTGTGTGTGGGGTCTCTGTGTTCAGCCACGTGCGCTCGTCCTGCTTGGGGCGGGGGGAGGCCGCTGGCGGGACGGAGACGTCCCAAGTAGCCTTCCGCCGGGGCCGTGCTCTCTTTCAGTCCTCTGCCCGGGCGCCGGCGCCGCAGTGCGGCAGGTGAAGCTGACCGAGCCCCCCCAGGACTCTGCGTCCAACGGAGGACTGAGACATCCACGGGGGTCGCTCAGGGGAGTGTGGGAAGTGTCAGAATAGGCGGGTCAGACTTTGTGGAACGCGTGGGGGTGGTCCTTGATGAAGTTGGGGAAAAGCTTTTTATTTGCCCCAGAAGCATTTTGTAGGGCTCCGGTAATCTCGTGCACCTCACGCCGAGGTTGCGCGTACTGCTCTGCCCTCAAAGAGCTTATGCTTACTTAGGCTAAGGGCTAGCAGACAACGTAAGCATAATCATATCGTTGTGAAGTGCATGATGGGGTGCCCCGCTAAGTATGGGAGCCTTTAAGAAGGGAGTCTTACCCACTGAGGGATGGGTGATGTTGGCTTTCAAGGTGCCTTCCGTGATAGGATGACATGAACTGCAGTATCAGTTAGCTGGGCCAAGGAAATAAGTACATTAGAAGTATAAACTGTTTTCCGTTAATGGTTACCAGTATGTGACAGAGAGGGATAAGGAGAGAGAAGTAGGTTGATGGACCAGAGAAAGCAGACTTGACTATAGCTTGGGAAAGGAATTAAACAGTTTAGAAGTAAAGGGGCAGAATGAGATTGTCTTTAATAGAAAGCAAAAGAGAGGATGGAGTTGAGGAATAAGACCGGAGTTGAGATTGTTTAAGAATATTTTGGAATGTTAAATGACTAAGAAGCTAGTGTGAGCAATAAGAGGATAGGATAAAGTGTCAGTGTACAAGATGAGAACAAATCTAGACTTGTGACAAGTATTTATGATTGTTCAAGTTTCTTCAAGTTTAAGTTCAAAAAGTGAACCAGTGGGACTGAAGAGATGGCTCACTGGCTAAGAGAGCATTCACTGCTCTTCCAGAGGACCTGAATTTGATTCCCAGCACCCCTGTCAGGAAATTGCCTTACAATCATCTGTAACTCCAGTTCCAAGGGGACCCCACACTTCTGGCCTATGTGGATGCCAGGCCTCCCTTTTGTGAGTGTACATACAGGTATAAAAGAAAAGTGGTAGGCCAAGTACAGATGCTTGGAAGCATTGACATTAAAGGAGAACTGAAAGAGGAGACGTGAAATATGCCAGACATTCAGTTAACCCTAACCCTCAGCCTCAGCCTCAACCCAGCCCTAGCCCTAACCCTGACTCTGACCCTGACCCTAACTCTAACCCTAACCCTAAACCTAGCCCTGACCCTAACCCTAATTCTAACCCTAACCCTAACCCTAACCCTAACCCTAACCCTAACCCTGGCCCTGAATAGCCCTAGCCCTAACCCTGAGTGAAGGTTTAGCGAGCAGAGATGAGTAGTATTGAACACATATGCTTCATGGTGAAGATGAAGGTTACTCTCCAAGGAGATAAAAATGTGGAAAGGGAAATAAGACTTGTCTTAATTAGAACCTAAGAAGGGAGCATACAAGGTAGTTACCGGTAGGGATTGCGTTGGGAGTAGGCCTAAGGAGAGAACTGAACTTCAGTCACTGCCATCCTGGTTGCAATACTGATCTCTGTGCATACGGATATCTTGCCCCATTTGGTAGCTATGTGAAGGAATTCTCGGAGAGTCAAAGGGCATGGTAGTATTCCCATTTGAAAATCAAATTGTAATCTTACTCCCACATTTTATAATGTTCTATTCAAGTTTGTGTTATTTATGTTGTAAAAGAGCTTTTGGGCTATCTTCACAGATTTACTGAGAGTCTATATTAGTTTATAATCTATTTCCATGTCTGGATCGAAGTTACCCATCCCCTAACACTCTTAAAATATTTTTATATTTTGAAATTTTCATACAGTTTATTTTGGTCATATTTACCTCTAACTCTTAAAACTAATAAGCTTCTAGTACAAAAAACAATTTAATGCATAGCCAGAAGAGAACTGGAAGTAGCATTTGTTGGTGAGATCTCTCATCCTTTGTGATTTGGAATGGGAAACTTGGTGATACTTTACCTTCTGATGGCTATGGGCTTGGTGAAGAGACCTGGAAGGGAGGAAAGGAGAGTATCGGCCACCAGCTTACTTCTCAGTTACTTCCTCCATACGTCCAGTGTGTAGGAGTAGAATTTACCTGCTATATCTTAAAGAAACAATTTGTCATTGTGACAAAGCAAACTATTTGCACAATCATCCCATGTTTATCAGTGCAGAGAGATTGCTTGAAGAATGTATGTACACTCTAATCGAATTTCTTTTTTGCATGAACTACATTTAAAATACTGGGGGCAGGTATGGTGGCACACTCCTATAATCCTGGCATTTGGGAAGTGGAGGCGGGCAAATCAGTATGTCAAGCCAGCCTTGCTTATACAACAGTCTGTCTCAAAAATAAACACAAAAAATTAAAAGACTCACTTTTTTTTAATTAATTACACTTTATTCATTTTGTATCCCCCCATAAGCCCCTCCCTCCTCCGCTCCCGATCCCACCCTCCCTCCCCTTTCTGCATGCATGCCACTCCCCAAGTCCACTGATAGGGGAGGTTCTCCTCTTCTTTCTGATCTTAGTCTATCAGTTCTCATCAAAAGTGGCTGCATTGTCCTCTACTGTGGCCTGGTAAGGCTGCTCCCCCCTCAGGGGGAAGTGATCAAAAAGCAGGCCAATCAGATTATGTCAGAGGCAGTCCCTCTTCCCATTACTATGTAAACCACTTGGACACTGAACTGCCATGGGCTACACCTGTGCAGGGGTTCCAGGTCATCTCCACGAATAGTCCTTGGTTGGAGTATGATTTTCTGGGAAGTTCCCTGTGTTCAAATTATCTTGTTCTGTTGCTCTCCTTGTGGAGTTCCTGTCTCCTCCAGCTCTTACTATTTCCCACTTCTTACATAAAATTCCATTCACTCTGCCCATCAGTTGGCCATCAGGCTCAGCATCTGCTTTGACAGTCTATACTGCAGAAGCTTTCAGAGGCCCTCTGTGGCAGGTTTCAAGGTTGTTTCCTGTTTTCTTCTGGCTTTCAGAGGCCCTCTGTAGCAGGTTTGTAGATTGTTTCCTGTTTTCTTCTTCTTCTGATATCCATCCTCTTTGCCTTTCAGGATGGGGATTGAGCGTTTTAGTTAGGGTCCTCTCTTGCTTAGTTTCTTTAGATGCACAGATTTCAGTGGGTTTGTCCTATGTTGTATGTCTATATGAGTGAGTATATACCGTGTGTGTCTTTTTGCTTCTGGGACAACTCACTCAGGATGATCCTTTCCAGGTCCCACAATTTACCTGCAAATTTCATGATTTCCTTATTTTTCATTGCTCAGTAATACTCTATTGTATAGATGTACCACAATTTCTGCATCCATTCTTCAGTTGAGGGGCATCTGGGTTGTTTCTAGCTTCTGGCTATTACAAATAAAGCTGCTACAAACATGGTTGAGCAAATGTCCTTTTTGTGTACTTGCGCCTCTTTTGGGTGTTATGCCTAGGAGTGGTATGGCTGGATCTTGAGGAAGCACTATTCCTAGTTGTCTGAGAAAGCGCCAGATTGATTTCCAGAGTGGTTGTACCAGTTTACATTCCCACCAGCAGTGGAGAAGGGTTCCCCTTTCTCCACAACCTCTCCAGCATGTGTTGTCCCTTGAGTTTTTGATCTTGGCCATTCTGATGGGTGTAAGGTGAAATCTCAGGGTTGTTTTGATTTGCATTTCCCTAATGGCTAATGAGGTTGAGCATTTCTTTAAGTGCTTCTCTGCCATTCGATATTCCTCTACAGAGAATTCTCTCTTTAGCTCTGTTCCCCATGTTTTAAGTGGATTACTTGGTTTGTTGCTTTTCAGCTTGTTTAGTTCTTTATATATATTGGATATGAGTCCTCTGTCAGATAAAGGGTTGGTGATGATTCTTTCCCAATCTGTAGGCAGTCGCTTTGTTTTGATGATGGTGTCCTTTGCTTTACAGAAGCTTTTCAATTTCATGAGGTCCCATTTATTGATTGTTGCTCTTAGAGCCTGTGCTGTTGGTGTTCTGTTCAGGAAGTTTTCTCCTGTACCAATGAGTTCTAGGGTATTCCCCACTTTTTTTCTAGCCGATTTAATGTGTCTGGTTTTATGTTGAGGTCTTTGATCCACTTGGACTTCAGTTTTGTGCAGGGTGATAAGTATGGATCTATTTTCATTTTTCTACATGTAGACATCCAGTTGGACCAGCACCATTTGTTGAAGATGCTATCTTTTTTCCATTGTATGGTTTTGGCATCTTTGTCAAAAATCAGGTGTCCGTAAGTGTGTGGGTTTATTTCTGGGTCTTCTGTTCGATTTCATTGATCCACCATTCTGTTGCTATGCCAGTACTATGCAGTTTTTATAACTGTTGCTCTATAGTACAGCTTGAGATCAGGGATGGAGATACTTCCAGAAGATCTTTTATTGTAGAGGATTGTTTTAGCAATTCTCGGTTTCTTGTTATTCCATACGAAGTTGAGAATTTTTCTTTCCAGGTCTGTAAAGAATTGTGTTGGCAATTTGATCGGAATTGCATTAAATCTGTAGATTGCTTTTGGTAAGATGGCCATTTTTACTATGTTAATCCTGCCAAGCCATGAGCATGGGAGATCTTTCCATCTTCTCATATCTTCCTCTAATTCTTTCTTCAGAGACTTGAAATTTTTTTCATACAAGTCTTTGACTTGCTTGGTTAGGGTTACACCAAGGTACTTTATGTCATTTGTGGCTATTGTGAAGGGTGTTGTTTCTCTAATTTCTTTCTCAGCCCTTTTGTCTTTTGTATACAGGAGTGCTACTGATTTTTTTTTTTGAGTTAATTTTGTATCCGGCCACTTTGCTGAAGGTGTTTATCAGCTGTAGGAGTTCCCTGGTAGAGTTTTTGGGGTAGAGTTTTAGTATGATATATACTATCATATCATCTGCAAATAGTGATAATTTGACTTCTTCCTTTCCCATCTGTATCACCTTGATCTCCTTCGACTGTCTTATTGCTCCAGCAAGGACTTCCAGCACTATGTTGAAGAGATATGGCGAGAGTGGGCAGCCTTGTCTTGTCCCTGATTTCAGTGGGATTGCTTTAAGTTTCTCTCCGTTCAGTTTGATGTTGGCTATAGGCTTGCTGTATATAGCCTTTACTATGCTTAGATATGTGCCTTGTATCCCTGATCTCTCCAGTACTTTAAACATGAATGGATGTTGGATTTTGTCAAATGCTTTTTCAGCATCTAGGGAGATTATCATGTGGTTTTTTTCTTTCAGTTTGTTAATATGGTGGATCACATTGATGGATTTCCGTATATTGAACCACCCCTACATACCTGGGATGAAGCCTACTTGGTCATAGTGGATAATATCTTTGATGTGTTCTTGGATCCTGTTTGCAAGTATTTTGTTAAGTATTTTTGCATCAATGTTCATAAGGGAGATTGGCCTGAAATTCTCTTTCTTTGTTGAGTCTTTGTGAGGTTTAGGTACCAAGGTGATTGTGGCTTCATAGAATGAGTTTGGTAATGTTCCTTCTGTTTCTATTTTGTGGAATAGTTTGAAGAGAATTGGAGTTAGCTCTTCTTTGAAGGTCTGGTAGAATTCTGCACTGAAGCCATCTGGTCCTGGGCTTTTTTTGGATGGGAGACTTTTGATGACTGCTTCTATTTCTTTGGGGGATATAGGACTATTTAGTTGATTTACCTGGTCCTGATTCAGCTTTGGTGAGTCAAATCGATCAAGAAAATTGTCCATTTCATTTAGATTTTCAAATTTTGTGGCATATAGACTTTTGAAGTAAGTCCTAATGATTGTTTGGATTTCCCCAGTGTCTGTAGTTATGTTCCCCTTTTCATTTCTGATTTTGTTGATTCGGGTGGTGTCTCTGTGCCTTTTAGTTAGCTTGGCTAAGGGTTTGTCGATCTTGTTGATTTTCTCAAAGAACCAGCTCTTGGTTTCATTGATTCTTTGTATTGTTTTATTTGTTTCTAATTGATTGATTTCAGCCCTGAGTTTGATTATTTCCAGCCGTCTACTCCTTTTTGGTGTGTCTGCTTCTTCTTTTTCTAGGGTTTTTAAGTGGGCCATTAAGTTGCTTGAATGAGCTGTCTCGAATTTCTTCTTGAAGGCACTTAGTGCTATGAACTTTCCTCTTAGCACTGCTTTCATTGTGTCCCACAAGTTAGGGTATGTTGTGTCTTCATTTTCATTGAGTTCTAGAAAGGCTTTAATTTCTTTCTTTATTTCTTCCCTGACCCAGCTGTCATTTAGTAACAAGTTGTTCAGTTTCCATGTGTGTGTAGGCTTTTTGCTATTTCTGTTGTTGTTGAAGTCCAGCTTTATTCCATGGTGATCAGACAGGATACAAGGGATTATTTCAGTCTTCTTGTATCTGTTGAGGCTTGCTTTGTGACCAACTATATGGTCTATTTTGGACAAGGTTCCATGAGGTGCTGAGAAGAAGGTAAATTCTTTTGTGTTTGGGTGTAAAGTTCTGTAGATGTCTGTGAGGGCCATTTGATTCATGACCTCTGTCAGAGATATTGTTTCTTTGTTTAATTTCTGTTTTGTTGACCTGTCCTTTGTTGAGAGTGGAGTGTTGAAGTCTCCCACTATTAATGTGTGGGGATCTATATGTGGTTTAAATTTTATCAGTGTTTCTTTTACAAATGTGGGTGCTCTTGTATTTGGGGCATAGATGTTCAGGATTGTGATGTCTTCCTGATGGAATCCCTTGATGGGTATGAAGTGTCCTTCCTCATCTCTTTTTATTAATTTTGGTTGAAAGTCTATTTTATCAGATATTAGAATGGCTACTCCTGCTTGTTTCTTGGGTCCGTTTGCTTGGAAAGTCGTCTTCCAACCTTTTACCCTCAGGTAATGTCTATCTTTGTGTCTTAGGTGTGTTTCTTGTATGCAACAGATTGCTGGGTTTTGTTTTGTATCCATTCTGTTAATCTGTGTCTTTTTACTAGAGAGTTGAGTCCATTGATGTTGAGAGAGATTAATGACCAGTGGCTGTTAGATCCTTTGATTTTGATGTTGGCTGTGTTCATAAGGTTGTGTGCTTGGTTGCTTTTTGTTTTGCTGTAGTAAGGTTAATTACTTCCTGTGTTTGCTTGACAGAAGCTAATTTTCTTGGGTTGTATTTTCCCTTCCAGTATCTTCTGTAATGCTGGATTTGTGTGTAGGTATTGTTGAAATTTGTTTTTGTCATTGAATATCTTGTTTTCTCCGTCTATGAGGACTGAGAGTTTTGCAGGGTATAGTAGCCTGGGTTGACATCTGTGTTCTCTTAGGGTCTGCATGATATCTGTCCAGGCCCTTCTGGCTTTCATAGTTTCTGTTGAAAAGTCAGGTGTGATTCTAATGGGTTTGCCGTTATATGTTACTTGGCTTTTTTCCCTTGCAGCTTTTAGTATTTTTTTCTTTGTTCTGTATACTTACTGTTTTGATTATTATGTGGCGGGAGGATTTTCTTTTCTGGTCAAATTTGTTGGGTGTTCTGTAGGCCTCATGTATCCTTATTGGCTTCTCCTTTAACTTGGGGAAATTTTCTTCAATGATTTTATTGAAAATATTTTCTGGGCCTTGGAGAAGGGAGTCTTCTTTTTCCTCTATTCCTATTATTCTTAGGTTTTGTCTTTTCATATTGTCTTGGATTTCTTGGACGGTCTGTGTCAGGAATTTTTTGGATTTAACATTTTCTTTGACAGATACATCGATTTCTTCCATTGTATCTTCTACATCTGAGATTCTTACTTCCATTTCTTGTATTCTGTTGGTTATGCTTACCTCTGTAGTTCCTGTTTTCTTCCCTAAATTCTTCCTCTCCATTATTTCCTCCATTTGTGTTTTCTTTAATTTTTCTAGTTCTATCTTCAGGTCTTGAGTTGTTTTGTTTACTTCCTTCACCTGTCTGCTTGTATTTTCCTCTTTTTCTTTTAGTTCCTTCAACTCTGTCTCTTTGATTTCTTTCGGTGATTTAATTATTTCTTCTCTGAAGGCCACAAGCTGTTTGGCTGCATCTTCCCGTATTTCTTCATGGATGGCCCTAATCTGCTTGTCTTTATCTTCCTCCATTTCTTTACGGATAGCCATGATTTGTTTGGTTTTATCTTCCTCTAATTCTTTACGTATTTTATCTGTTTCCTCTATTATTCTCTTCATCAACCTAGATGTAAGGTCATCTTCTTGATTTTCTATTATGCTGCATTGTTCAGGGCTGTTCGCCCCTGGATGGCTGGGTTCTGGAGATGCCATATTGCTGTCTTTTGTTGGTTGAGCCTAAAAGACTCACTTTTGTTAGTCCTTTCTAGTTTTATTACTATTATGGAAGGTTAACCATGTACTTATACGTACTGAACTCACAGTTATGCTCCCTAGCAAATTCAAACATCTTCAAATCATATTTAATAGTTGATTTTATTTTTATTAATTGATTGTTTTATTTACTAATCTGGGGCATCTGTAAAAAAAATTTTTTTTTTTTTTTTTTACCTCCCCAAATCAGCACAGGACAGTTTCTGATCCTTTTGCAGCTCATGTATAAAATTTCTCAGAAATTGCTTAATCATGGTTAGGATCATTAACATCTTAGCTCCCTGCATTGCAGTTGCCTCAAGTAGATATCAGCCTACACTTTTATTTCTGTTATTAGACCTGTGTTTCTTAGCAGACTTGAGTTTAAGTGTTTAAACGCACACTAATGACTCTTCTTGTTGGCATGACACTAGCTGACAGAAAAAACGAAAAGAAACAACGCTTTATTTTGACTCGGGACTCCAGAAAGCACAGTTAGAGGTGTAGTGGTGTGGTGTAGTCTGAGGCAGAATTAGGAGGAAGCTGCATGCTCACTTGACATACACCAAGATGGGGGAGCAGTTTGCAATAATGTGGGAATAATCCTCAAAGCCAGCCTTGGTGATGGGCGTATCCAGGCCCTACCCACTAAATGCTTCACAGCCTTCAAAGTAGCACTGCAAGCTAAACATTGAGATGAAAAGCATGACCCCTTGGGGGGCATTTCTGACTCAAGCCATAACAAATTCTGTTTTCTCTATTTTTTTCAATACAGGAAATAAAGTCTTTACTATCTCTGTTTGGAGGCCAGTTCATTAACAGTCAGGAAACTTATGGAAAGGTAAGGTGATTTTTTTTTTTTCCCCTCTAAGGGAATAGGACGTAGGTTATTTTGGAGCTCGTTTTGAATGAGCATGGCTGGGGAACATAAATTTAGGTCAACCCAAATTCCATGTTCCAGTGTGGCACTTTCAAAGTTTTACAGAACAAAGGAAGTTATAAATCAAGGTAATGCTGAAATAAGTTGGTCAGGACATTAGAGAGGCAGTCACAGCAAATTGGAGGAAGCTTCTCTGTAGGCCTAAGATGCTATCTGATGACATTCTTAACTTTTCCACTGTTGGAAGCTAGTAGTCTGTTAAGTGAGCAGATTTCTAAGGGTTTTTACCTTTTAGTCACAACATGTTAGTTTTGACACAGAGGCAGCAGGGGCCAAAGGTAGCCCAAGGTACTGCAGTTCTAATCATTTGGGTCTCTGCAGACACAGCTTCTTTCTGGAATTCCCATTCATTCTGGCCCTTCACATTTTGCGCATGTGGGGGCCATATATAAGGTCCTTTGTGGCTAGGCAGGCTCATTCCTGTCTGTTAAAGGTGAGGCTGAGTAGTGGGCAGAGCAGTAGTCTTCAGGAGAGAGGATTAAGACAATTACGAAAAAAACTTGTAGATTATATCAAAACTATAAATCATTGTGGTCTGGGTCTGTAGTGTTTTCTTTTGCTCTTTCTGTATTTATGTGTGATATATAATAGGGTTCCTATATCTAAAATTAAGTTTGGCCTAATGGACAGAAGGTAACAGATGAAGGAAGATGGAAGATGTACTTAAAATACCTAACATGTACATATTTTCAAATAGATTGACTCTTTCCCTCTGTATTTACCATTATCTGTGCTCAATGAACTGTCTTATAGCTATTTCTGTGGTTAGAGATGGTACTTTGGAAGGACTCACTGTAATAATGTACCCCTTTTTAATTAGTAAAATACAAATGTTTTTATTTAATTAAAATCTCTGCTAATTGTACTGTAGGACATTTTAGATAGTAATGAAATCAAAACCAGCAGTATTTGTTGTTATTAGAGATTGGGATCTTTTGTATAATTGGAATAAGAAGAGTTAACCTAAATCTTTTAGTATTTCTAGGTAGAGTAAATAGAGTTAAAGTTTAATTTAATTACTAGATATTTATCCAAATTATGCTGAATTATGGGAATGTGTGTATGTATATATATACACACACACCTACGCAATGGAAGCACTTGAATCTTTTAAATACTACCTTTAAATAAGGTAGGAGGTTACTGTTTATTACCTTAAATAGTCACAACAAAAAGATATGATCAAGTGAAAGGACATGATATCTTCATAAAAACCAGTATTTGCATTTTATTATCAGAATGATTTTAATTTTGATAAGGGATCTAGCATTTTTACTTGGGAAATAGGAGTATCTCCTGTTGAATTCTTAATCAAAGCATAGTGGACCTTGTAGCCTGTTAGCAGTAATTTCCATGCTAATTTTTTTTTTCTTCCAGTCTCCATTTTGGATTCTGAGCATTCCCTCTGAAGATATTGCAAGAAACTTAATGAAGCGGACCGTGTGCGCCAAGTAAGAGAAACTCATAATGCTTTGGGCGTGCGCATACAGGGTCTTACAATCATTCTGCTCTGGTTTTCGCTGTGGAAGTTGGTTGAGGCCAACAGGATGGTACAGGGGAATCAGCTTAGAAGTTACATGGCTTTCCCGTTGGGTGGTGATAAGGGGGCAGAGAGAGCTACCTTCTGGAGCTGAGGTAACAAACGCATCCATGCTGAGCAGGAGGCTAGTGTGCGATGACACATTCTTACATAGAATGAATGCCACACTTAGTGTCACCAAGTTTTACGAAATCTAATTTCTTATTCTTGATTTTTAGTTGAATGATCGGGTTATAAATGGTCAGATTAGTAGGGTGGCAAAATGTGGGAACCGACATGAAATATGTTTGTTAGAGAAATGAGTTCTGACAAGTATATCTTTGAATATATTGTTCGTTGTTTGTTCTTTATAGATTTTTATCATTAGCCCCCTCTTTCCCTTTTCTTTAATTTTTTAATCTACACTTAGTCACTTTTTTCTCTGAATATAATGGCAGATTACTGAAAATGTCTTTTCCTTGGATATTGTTTTTAATAATGGAATTAAAATAAGAAAAAAATTCTTATTTACCATGGTTAGTAATGTTTTGTAATGTCACCCTCATATTTATCTAACTTTGTCTTATGGAGAAAATATGCTCAATTCTAAATCTAATTCTTTAAGCTGCAGCTTGTTAATGATCTTGTTACTGACTATAAATGATTAAAGACAACAAAAAAAAATGAAAACCACTTTTTGGTATAATTACTACTTTACTTTACATGTTAAGATGTATGGCTCTTTGACGTATTTGAATTTCAGAAGTGAGGGATGTTAAGTTTAAAATACCCATTTTTATACTCAGAACTTAACGTGTTTAAAGCTCATGTCTTTTGGTGGATATGTCTGATGAGTAGTAAAATTAATAATTATATAATATTGGAAAATATAATGATTTACTTTTGGTTGTTTTTCATTTCTGTGCCTGGAGTACTCCTGAAGATGCTGCTAATGAGCCTGACATTACTAGCCAGACGGTGGTGGCTCATACCTTTAATCCCAGCACTCAGAAGGCAGAGGCAAGGCAGGCAGGTCTCTGTGAGTTTGAGGCCAGCCTGGTCTACAGAGAGGGTTCCAGGACAGCCATGGCTACGTAGAGAAACCCTATCTCGAAAAAACAAACCAAACCAAACCAGAGTAGGTGGGGGTCATCTGGGAGTAGCATTACTTACTTGCTCTAACTTCAGTAGAAGACAAATTCACTTCCAAGGACAGGATGTGCAACCTATAGTTAACTAAAACAGACTTTCAAGAATGTATTGAAAGTCATTCAAAATTTTCTGTGGTTCAGTTAGGCTTTAACTAACTTTAATACAGTTTTAGTATGGATTTCTAGAAAATTTATTTTTGTATTTTTAGTTTATATGCATATCTGTGTGCCTAAATATCAGCATGTAAACATGTGTCCAGTTGCCCTCAGAGGCCCTTGTGGAACTATAGTTACTGGTGGTTGTAAGCTGCCTGATGTGGGTGCTGGGAACCATTTTGGGTTCTCTAAAAGAGTAGCAAGACCTCTTACCCACTGAGCAGTCTCTCTACCTCCTTCAGTATGGAATATTTTATACTTACCACAAACCTGGGTACTCAAGAGTTAAACACTTTAAGTAACATAGTCAAATTTACCAAATAAATAGTAAGAACAGGGTTTTTGCTTTTTAAACAAAAACTTCCCCCTTATAAAGAGGAGGTCATTTTATAGCTTTCCTTAAAATACCATGTGATTTTATTGCATCGTTTGATCCAGCATAATATATAATATAATATATAATAATGAGGGCATGGGTTATAGCTCAGTGGTAGATAGTAGTAGATAGTGGGGTCAATCCCTGACCCCATCAAATATATGCAGATAGTTTTGTATTTGTGTATGTGTATGAATGATGAAAACTTGCAAATATCCTAATTTAATGTTGAATTTCTCTCCTTTCGTGTAAGTTTCAACTTCTTTGTGTGTTTTAGGGTTATACTGTTTTTGTTTCCAGTGCATGTATTTTTCAAAATAGATTAAAAAGCAAAGCCAGTGACAGTTTTATTATGGCAAGCATAAAGAACTAGTAAATAACTATTATGTATTGCTCTGAACTAAGTTCTTTACTGAGGTTAGTACCAATCATTTATTTCCTAGGTCTATATTTGAACTATGGGGTCATGGAAAATCTCCTGAGGAGCTGTATACTTCTCTTAAAAATTACCCTGTGGAAAAGATGGTGCGTAGTGAAACGTGATTATGCATAGGCTCGTGTGCATATTTGGCATAGTTCATAAGCTTAGAGAACCTATCTGCTTCTATTTTAGGTTCCATTTCTACATTCAGACTCTACGTATAAAATAAAGATTCACACGTTTAATAAAACATTGACTCAAGAAGAAAAAGTCAAACGAATAGATGTAAGTGAAATTAGCTAAACCAAAACCTATTGGGTCAGTGCACTCTGGCAGTTGATATACATGGATATATGATGCTTGCTTACCACTTTCTATGCTCTTGTGTGTATCTTACTTACCTCTGACACAGACTCACACAGTGGATATACTAGATGAGCACTGTTCTCCAAGTCTTTGTAAACTTCTGTAGTACATTAGAATTACTATTTCTTTCTTTCTTTCTTTTTTTTTTTTTTTTAAGGCACTTGAATTTCTTCCATTTGAGGGAAAAGTGAACTTAAGGACACCACAACATGTATTCTCTGTTTTGGAGGACTATGGTTTGGACCCAAACTGCATCCCCGAGAAGCCGCATAATATTTATTTTGGTAGATGGGTGAGCACGTTCTTTCTTCCTCTCTCCTTTTATTTTAAAAAAGCTAAGTGTGGTAATGTAGGTCAGTGGCAGAGCATTCATGAGGCAAAGATCAAAGAAAGCAGAGAGCTATACCTTTCTATCAGAGTTTTTATATGTAAAAGCAACTTAACAGTTAGAACTGCTGTATGGGTTAAAATTGCCGAGATGTGTGTGAATATGATTTGTTTTCACAGATTCCTGTGAAACGCAAGGAGCTTGTTAGATATGAAACCTAGGAAAAGGGGGCACTTGATAATGGAAAACAAGATTTCCCAGACTGTCAGGAATACTCCTTGAGTGAAGCAGAGGCAGGGCAGAGTGCTGTGCCTGCTCAGCAGGCCCTTGTGGAAATCTTAGATCATTTCCATTCTGAGAGGAAATGAAATCATAGACATGTTATGCTCACTTCCTTGAGGCTACAGTAGGTGGATGGAAGCCGAGACCCATGATATGGACTAAGTTATTTTAGAGAATGAGAAAGGGGAGGTGAGAATACTCAAGACCTCTTAGAATAGTTAAATGTAAATTTGATTTCTGCTGGGTTTGCAAGCACAGAGTTAGTGGAAAGGCATTAAATAAATAAAAATTTACTGTAATAATCTCAGTCCTGTGATTTTTAAAGGATTAAGTTTGGAACAGTAATAAGTGGATAGAGGTTCTCAATCTCAAGGTGCTATAATTTTATTGTGAATAATTATCTTGAGTGTTCGGTGTAGCTAGACTAATGTGAAAAATATCTCTGATCTAGATTGCAGATGGGCAAAGAGAGCTAATTGAGTCATATAGTGTCAAAAAGAGACATTTTATTGGAGGTACAAGTATGGATGCTGGTTTATCATTCATCATGGCCAACCATGCCAGAGTGAAAGAAAATGATGTTGTCTTTGATCCATTTGTTGGAACAGGTATTACATAAGTCCATTTGTTGCACTAATGCATAGATATTGCTTATTTGTAGCTGTGAAGGTGATTCTATGTTTTGGAGGAGAGATTGAATCAACAAGCTAATCTTGTCACTTGATGGATGTGACTAGGATTTTGTGGGTTTTATTCCAAGTAAGCCACTGGGGGGAGCAGTAGTCTTATTTTTTCACAGATGTCTTTGCAGTGTCTCATACATTGTAGGAATGTTATAGAATCATAGTATATTTATTTAATTAGGAAAACTCTTATGAAAAAATGAAAAAAATCAAAAGAAAATATTCATGCTTTTAAATAAATAGCCATATATTTGGGTAGAGGGAAAACATATCTTTGATTCTGTTTGTGGGAGTTTTTAAGCAAGCATGAAACCAAAGGTGACTAAGTAGCCATAGAATAGAGTCTGCCTGCTGATCACGCTCTTTGTAACTTCTCTAGGGTGCTTCCGTAGTTAAGTTTGTGAAAGCCTGAAATCCCAAATTGATGTCATCTGATTCTGAGGTTTTGCTTGCCTCAGATTTCTTTCTTGCTTGATGTAGACCTTGGGCAGGCAGTACTCTTATTTAATTTTTGTCTGACTAACCCCATTATTCTATTTTGTGAGTAGCTCTGTAGATGTCTGTCTAAGGAGCAGTGAGGATGCAAGGCTAGTAGTATCTGTTGAGTAAATGTGACAGGTACTATGCTGTGCACTTTAATTCTGATGACAACTAACACGAATATATTCTAAAAGTCTTCCTGAAGACGTTGCAGTGCAAGGCGAGGTTAAGTGCGTTGGCCAGGGTTTGTTACACAGCGTCTTATTTCTGCAGTTTCCAGCTGCAGCAGTCTGACACCACTGTTTGTGTTTTTATTGCTTCTGCAGGGCTTTCTCTCTCTGCAGACTAATGGTAATTTTTATCTGCATAGGTTTTACTGGCCGATACTTGCACTGAGTTAGCGTTAGGGCTGTGAGCAAATGTGACCAGGAAGAAATAGTATCTATTCCACCTATCTGGTGGAAGGAGTTTTCTGGAATTTGTTTTGACCTGATTCACCAGTGAGCTTTCTGCCGTGTCTTCATGGATCTCACTCTCAGCAGCACACTAATTTATTCTTTCCTGTCATCATTTACCTAAACACTCTTTGGTTTCACTATTGGAACTGATGTCAAGTTTATTTAAAGGTTCTGACTATCTACACATCAAATCCCAGTGTAAGCATTTGTTTACGTGTGGCTTCCTTTACCGTTTTATTTTATTTGTATTTTCCCCTGAATCATTTGAAGGTTACATGTTTTACATTCCTCTCTTAATTATGTCAGTATACATGTTTTAAGAATAAGGATTACATATGTACTTATATTTATATATTTGTATTCTGTGGTTAGATGATGTATTTTACTAATAATGCTATTTTGATTCGGAACATAACTAAAGCTTTTAAGTATAGAATATTCTTCATTTGAGTTGCTTGAATCTTTCTCATTACTGAAATGGGTTATACATTCCCAACTGGGCTGTGAAACTTTGAGTGTGTCCTTTTCAAGGATTACATACCCTGCTTCTCTGCCTCTCAGTGTAATACTAACTTTTATCAGCGTGGTACTAATATAATTTTCCATTGTGTGATGGTGACTGTTCTATTTTATGTTCTTGCAGTTCATATGAAGCACTTGTGGGGAGGAACATTAAGACTAGTAAAGTGTACTGCTCCTTATATCCAGATGTCTCCTCCTCTGACAAGTCAGGGTTAGCATCCGTTGACAGGATTCTTGTTTGGACCAGTCTTTCCTTTGATGATTTTTCCACTCTAGCACTTCTGTTACTGATCTACATTTATTATTTTATAATCAAGAGCCTTTCCTCACTTCCTGTTGTTAATTTCACTTTATTAACATGAACTCCTAAGCCCCCTGTGTTCTCTGGTGATTTATATATAAGTCCTGTTAGTCCTTAATTACTTCCTTATTCAGATTAGCCCAATTTAACCAGACCTTTCTCATTGAAACTGTCTTTGTGACCTTTTTATTTATTTATTATTTTTTTAAAATTCTTTTCAGAGGACTTTTCAAGTTTCTGGCTTATCTTTTACATGCCAAAGCCCTGGCATCAGTCATTTCTCACAGTAACCCTTGTTTCTTTTAGTGGGGAGAGGGTATCAGAAACCCTGATCCGACTTCAGAGGGTGAGCACACGTGTATACATATACTACGTATGTGAGGCAAATGGAAATACTCATTCATATACTCCTGTGTGTATTAAACACATGTAAACCTACACACAGACTTATTAGAAATCATGGTCTATGCATGTGCCAGCTGTTTCTGTTGACTGTCACAGATCCGTTTCCTCCCTGTTTCATCTTTTTTACATACACTTTTCTCTGCACTAAGAACCCTGGTTCTTATGTTCAGCCTGTTTGCTCTTCTGCTCGATTCTATAATTATCTAAAATAATCAAGATTGCTTTGTCCATGCCTTATGGGTGGGGTGTGAGTAGGAATCCTACCATATTAGTTTTTTGTGAGTGTGTTCATTGTTTTATGTAGCGTAGAACTCTGAAGCCATAGTGTTGATTTCTTCTTATACCTTCTCTCAGGTGAGTCAGTGCTGGTAATAGTCCACAAAGAGAGAGATACACTTCTTGGCCTTGTCTGTCTTCGGATGATTTGTAGGTATAAGGAAAATAATACAGTTCCTTTTGAATTTTGTCATTTCAGATTGTAGACATAGGATCCAGGTGAGGAAATGGAGTTGGTCCTGGGAGATAAATGCAGGATGAAAAAGAGGACTGGAAAGTAGATATCAGTAGATCATTAGTGCTTTCGGCTTTTCAGTCTTTCATATTCCTTCCAAGTTCCCTTTTCCAAAGCCTGAAGTTAGTCTAGTTGTGGTGCTGGCCATGGCAGTGTTCTCGTACTTAGCTGCTAGTTCATTTAGAGCTCCTCTCTTGGGGATAAAACACATACAGTTAAAAAAAAAAAAAAAAAAAGTGGCAGCAGGATCAACAGCTCCTTTTCCTTTTCTCTGTCTCAGTAAAACCAAAGCCTGGTCTCACATTGCCTCAGACTTTCAAAGCTTTCCCTTAGCTCTCCAGAGACAAACTTAAATGGTTTTATAGTGTGGAATAAATTCAGCTCATTGTAGGCTTTTGCATATAAGATATTACCCTAACCTTAAAATGGTTACTGTTTATTGTTTATGTGACAAGTTGAAACACTGAGTTGTCAGTCTAACTCACATACGTGGTATTAATATTTTTCCTTTGGATAAACAAAAAGGGGTGAATCACTTTCCTCCATTCTCAGCATCTCACCCTGTTTTTACTGTCCTTTCCACCAAAGAAGACTCCATTTAATGTACAACAAGATACAAAAAACTGCTGTAATTGAAAGAGCAATAGATGATTAACAGGGATCAGAGAAACCAATTTGTTATGATTTTATTTTTAAAAAGTAAAAGACACAAGTTATCAGGTGAGTCTAACAGATTATTCATCTCCTTTCAGCAGTGTTCTGTAAGTTGGGTCTTCTCAAATCCCTAAGCAGTGGATAAGGTTCTGGTTAAGGAAGCACAGGAAAGCTTTTCTGTTCTCCTTGACAACTAGCTCTTCTAGGTGAGTATCTGCCTTGGCTGGCAGAATTGTAGTAATTCCTTGTGATTGGGGTGAAGTGACTGTGTCTCACAAGTCACCACATGCAGCGCCTTTCCTAAGTACAGACTGTGCTGTGTTAGATGAAGAATTGAGGTCCCCTCCCACTGCGTCTCACACGGACAGTGATTTCTTTGAGAAGACCCAGGTTCTGGTTTCTGCTGTGCTTTGAATCCACCATCCTTCTTCTCCTTCAGGGATGCCACAGGGAAGTAGTTAGTGCACTTCCACCAGCAAAGTATTTCGAAGTCCTCTCCCCTGGCTGTTTTAAATGGCTGTAGGTCTATAATGTGTAGGTCTTGGCCCTGTGAAGATACTGTGCATCTTAACTTTAGAGGTAACATTTTAAAAAGGTAGAAAGAAACCTTAGAATTTGCTCCCTGTCCAAGCCTGTGCTTATGTTGTAGTCTAAGGATGAATTTCTCATTTCTACTTGACTTACATCTTCCTATATTATAATTGGGGGTTGATCATGCACACAAAAATGCTTTTAATTTGAATACTTGATAATGTGCAGCTTAATGAGAAATACAGTGTAATATTTTATTGAACTTTGAATTTTGGTTAAAATTTTAAAGACTTGCTTTTTTTAAAGGTGTTTTCTTTTAATTGTTAGAACTTTCCTTCATTTTTGAGCCGGTCACATCAGTCATATTCCTCAGTCTAATCAGTTTATACTGGGAAATGATTCTTACTTTAGCCACTAAAATGTGAGGAAGAAAAATGATACCATTAATTAGCTAAGTTACTTAGAAAGTCATATTTTTAGTTTATACCAAGAGATAATTACATGACAGTATTCTTAAAAGGCCGTGTTTTAACTTGTGAAACTTAGTACTACCCATGTGTAAGATGCTCACTTTATTTCTGTGAGATCGAGCCCAGTTGCTAGCTTATTTTAGATCTTTGTGTTTGCAGACCTGTATGTTCACTTTTTAATAATCTTAGATAACCCGAAAATGTCTAAATATACATTTTTTTGAACTAAAAATAGTGTTGCGTACGTAGTGTTGTGAAGTAGTGATGCCGAGATATGCATTGACTCTGCTTCTCAGCCAACTTAGTGGGTTCAGTTTAGGGTTTATTTGTTCAGTTCTGAGCCTTGCTAAATTTAACTAGGCTTGATGTCATTCCAGGGTACTGTGCCTGCAGCTAGTTCATAAGACTCTGGATCAAATTAAATCAGGAAAAGAACACTAGTCTGGACTTTCTGGGTAACAGTCATGATTGTGTGATTTTCCAGGTGGTCTCCTGATAGCATCTGCTCACTTTGGTGCATATGTGTGTGGGACAGACATAGACTACAACACAGTTCACGGCTTAGGTGAGTAGAACTTACAGGCAATGTTAAACTCTGTTGTTAAGCCAAATGGGCCTTTAAAATAATAAAGTAGTTTTGTGTGACACTTTATTGTTTAAAACAACATTTTTGCCACAAAACGTGTTTGAGTGTGTACATTGATGATGTGCTCATTCGGTGTGTGCAGTGTGAACTAGAAGAGTGTTAAGATTAAGATTAGAGAGATGGAGTCGCCATCTTGTTGTGTAGTCAGCAAGTCCATGTTAAGAAGATGTATGTAAGGGGGTAGAGATGGAGAGATGGCTCAGGGACTAAGAGCACTGACTCTTCCCCCAGGACTCGGGTTCAATTCCCAGCATCCACATGGCAGCTCACACTTGTCTGTAATTCCAGTTCCAGGGTTTCTGACACACTCTCATAGACATACATGCCAGCAGAACACCATGACCATAAAAATAAATTTAAAAAAAAAGAGAGAGAGAAGATGGAAACATTTGTAGTCTCTATTTAAGATTACCATCATTGATTTATTCAGCAATCATGCATTGCATTCAGTTTAGATTGGATTAATATTTTTTAGTCTTTGAGTAACTTTTTTTGTGATTAGAACAAATTATTTAAAAGTCATATTTATAGTTTATACCAATAGGTAATTACCTGACTGTATTCTTAAAAGGCCATGTTTTAACTTGTAAAAATTAATACTACCCATGTGAAAGATGCTCACTTTATTTCTGTGAGGTCAAGCCCATTATCTATAATATCTATAATATATATTATATATCTATAATATATATTATATAATAATATAATAATAATAGTATCATTTTTCTACGTAACAGTGTTGTAGCTAAAATAAGAGTCATTTCCCAGTACAAACTGATCAGACTGAGGAATATGACAGAGTTGACTGGCTCAAAAATGAAGGAAAGTTCTAACAATTAAAATAAAACACCTTAAAAAAATCAGGTCTTTAAAATTTTAACAAAATAATTGAAACACTTGAGGTGTCTACAGATGTGAAAATTCTGCCTATAAATGGGTATAACTTGAAACATTAATCTACTTTGATATTGTAGCAATTATGGACACTATTTAAAAACTTGAAAGCTTCCCAAATGGTGTGTGATTGAATGGAATTAGAGTAAAAAAGTGTATTCCTAATGGAATGGTATTAAAAATACCAAGTTAAATTCATGCTTTTGAAATTTTTTGCCTCTATGCTGGTAGTCCTGTATTGTAACTTGGATCAGATCTTAAAAACCCCTTTCTTCATTCAGTATAGATTAATTTAAAGTGAGGTGTCATTACACTTTCTGTTGCTGAGACCATTGTGTGCAGCACTGATAGAGTGTCATCCCACCTTGTCCCCTTCTTAAAAAGTTTTTATTGATGTGTGTGTGTGTGTGTGTGTGTGTGTGTGTGTGTGTGTGTGAATTTCACATCATGCACCCCAATCCCTCCTATGTCCTTGGCCCACCATTTCCACATCTACCCTCTGCCCTTGCAACCTCCCCACCAAAAGAAAATGGACAAACAAAAATCTTGCTGGAAGCTGCAGTATGTCCTGGTATGCCACATAATACACTCTTTTCCCCAAAAAGAATGTTCATTGCAGTGAGTCATTGGTCTCTGGTTCGGGGTCTAGCTTTTGCTACACTGTCTATCCTGGATATTCACTGGGACTCCTCTCAGATAGCCTGCTTTTTCGCTGTGTCTTAGAGATTCTACAGCTTTGGTTCTGGACGACCAGCCCCTTCATATGCTCCAGCAGTTCATAAATGCGATAGATTTTGGGGTGGGCCAAATCAAATTCCTGTGTCTGGGCCTCAGTGAGAGCTGAGTTGATCATCCTGACAGCTCTCCTGAGCTCACCCCATTAGGGCCAACTCTCTCGCATTGCTCAGGTAAAGGGTGGGGCCAGCTCTCCCTCCTGCTGAAGAGGGACTGTCATCTGTGTGGCCCAGCGTGCTCTGTGTATTATGTTTATATTAGAGTAAGTAAAGTTCTGAGACTTCATTGTAGTTTGTAGAAGTTTCTTGTTAACAGAGACCACGCATTTGCTGTAAGGAGATTATCCAACAGAGCTTTTAAGAATTTTTATTTATTTTTACTTATTAAAGTTTTGAAAAAGTTATTTCATAGCCTTCAGTCTACTGGGTGTAGATTTCTAATTGAGAAAAGTTTTTAAAGTTTATCCAGTTGCTAGTTATACCCCCTGTTTTTTCTTTTCTGGTCTCTCAGTTTATACCATAAAATAGTTTCATGTTTTTCCAGTTAGAAAATCAAAAGCCTTTCTGTGAGTCCTGTGGGGTCCCTTAGCTGTATTTTAGTTTTCTCTTTCCTTTGCTGAGATGCTGCCTGAAAACCTCCTGTCTGCTTTTGGTCTCACTTTCTCATTGCCTGTGATCTTGTAGCACCAGTGCCTACTGTTCAGCTGGAACAGCAAAGAGCTGCAGTTCCACAAGTGTTGACCTTTTTACCCGCCTTCTAGGGTGATGTTCTACTGATGCTGCCTTTACTGTTTTGACAGTTTTATTTCAGTGTCTTTAAAGCTCTCTGTTTTCCTCTTTTTTTCCTTTAAATTCTGTTTCTACCACATTGAATGTTTGGGGGTTTTCTTTTTTTTTTTTATCGTAAAGTCAGTCATAATGCAAAAGTATATAATTATATAAGAATAGTTGCTGGGCATGGTGGTACAAGGCTGTAATGCCCACACTCAGGAAGTAGAGGCAGGAGCCTCTCTCTGTCCATTCCCTGTCTTAAGAAAAAGAATAACTCTAGAGTGAACTGTTATGAAGCTCTAGATTAACGTTGTGCTCTTTCTGACCAGTTTCACTTGTTTAAATGCTGGTGGTTCCAAGTGTGTGTTTAGTCTTTACTACCTACTGATTATCTCTTTCAGTTAATGTGTATGTGTGTGTGTATGTGTGTAATAGTTTGTATATCTCAAAAATTACTAGTGAGCCATGTTTTCTTCTGGTTTCTCTGGTTTTAACACTGACATGATCATCGTCCGCTTGGGTCTCCTCAGTGCTAAGCTTTTGAACTTGGTCCGCTTTCTCCACACACACACTGACCAGACACTAGTTATGTTTCTGTTTTATGTACCTTCTCCATGGTCAAAGCTTCTATGATTTTTTTTTAATTTTATTTTTCTTTTTAGTTACATTTTGTTAACTCTGTGTCCCAGCTGTATCCCGCTCCCTCATTCCCTCCCCAATCCCACACTCCCTCCCTACAAGTTAGCATTCTTTATTTCTGTTTCATTTATCTGATGTAACAGTCATTCAACATGGAACTCTTTACTGCTCTTGGAAATGTCCATGTTCTACTCAGTTATGTATATTACTGATGAACACTTCATGCTTAGAAAATACTGGCCATTTTTACAAGGTACATTTTACTGTTCAGAATAAGGTAAAATAATACTTGCCTAATTGTGTGCATACAATTAGTATTACAAATGACACACACTTTATGTGGGTAAATAGGGGTTTGCATGAACATAAAAGTATTTTTGGATAAACTAAAGAAATTAAGAATTCTCTGTTTGCTAGAATAAGTACGATCATTTTTTTTTTTCTCTCTCTCTTTAGGAAAGGCTACTAGAAAGAACCAGAAATGGCGAGGACCAGATGAAAACATCAGGGCAAATCTTCGTCAGTATGGTTTAGAGAAGTTTTATCTTGATGTCTTGGTTTCAGATGCTTCTAAGCCTTCCTGGAGGAAGGGAACATATTTTGATGCAATCATCACAGATCGTGAGTTTATTTGGAAGGGGGCTAGTTTTCTGAAGTTGGTACATTTTTAAATACAAAACATATCAGCACACCTAAAAAATGCCCACTTGTTTTAGGTATTTTTTTTCCCCCACTCTTTAACTTCCTTACATTAAAAACAATAAAAAAAAATTATGACTAGACAGCAGGTTGTTAAGTAGCTAAGGGTTTGTGGTTTCATTTTAGCAGATATGTTTATTTCCTGTTTACTTTAGCCATACATAATTTGCCATCCATGTTCCCTTCCCTTTAATTTTTTGATGCATGTACTTTTATAGTGCCTGTGTTTGGTCATAAGAGTAGCAGCTAGAGCTAAAGAACTATCTATGGTTTCTCAAGGGGTTTCAGCAGTCTCAGTTTTTCTGTGGGTGAAAGAAAGCCTGTGTAGTGCCTACCTCCATGGGCATCACCTTTCTAGATTTAGATAAATGGGACCACTGGGCTTTTGAATCAACTTGTTTCGGGACACTATACGAAAACTTAGGTTCTGCACCTCAGGAATCTTGAATGTTTGAGGCAGCCTGTCTAAACAGATGTGCCTTTTCTGTAGGATTGGCAAATCTGTAAATGTTGCAAAGTTAAGACCTTTGTCTCAGCCAGCTCTTGTTTTTCGATGACTTTGACGGTTTCGAATCTAACAAGAAAGTTCTTATGGCAGTAAGATGTCATTGTGAATATGCATTATGAAACTTGGGTGATCTTTTATTATTTACTGTTGTTCTCCAACTATGATATCTTCCTTCTGTACTTCAGTATGTATTTCCTGAGAACAAATATAGTATCTTAGGCACAGTATGCCAATCATAAATTGATATAATAATTTAATCCGCAGTTTATTAGCCAATTTCATCAGCTGAACCATTAATACTATGGGCTGTTTGTTTGTTGAGTACAGGATGCACCTCGAATCAGGCTTTGCATTTAGTCATCTGAACCTCTGTTACTTACAATATGACCACAGCCTCACATAGTTGTCCTTTCCTGAGCATTTTATATTAAATATTTTTTGGTGGAATACTGCAGAGGTGATGTTTTTCCTTCCCTGGTTGGTGTCTTAGGGTTCCTATTGCTGTGACAAAACCACCATGACCCAAAGGCAAGTTGGGGAGGAAAGGGTTTATTTGGCTTATACTTTCAGATCATAGTACATCATTATAGGAAGCCAGGACTGGTACCTGGAGGCAGGAGATGATGCAGAGGCCAAGGAGGAGTGCTGCTTACTGGCCTGCTTCACATGGCTTGCTCAGTCTGCTTTCTTATAGAGCCCAGGACCACTAGCCCAGGGATGGCACCACCTACAATGGGCTGCTTCCCCTCCCCATTGATCACTAATTGATAAAATAGCTGAATTTCATGGAGGCATTTCCTCAACTGAGTCCTTTCTCATGACTCTCTTGTTTCAAGTTGACACACAAAACCAGCCAGTATACCTGGATATCACATTTGATTGCGTACCACGTATATCTGTCCCTCATTGGTGACGGTTGACTTGACTATCCCCTTATTTTTTGTTTTTGTTGTTTTGTTTTTCTGCCTAGCTCCATATGGTATCAGAGAATCTACAAGAAGATCAGGTTCACAGAAGAAAATACCAAAGGGAATAGAAAAATGGTAAGTGAAATTTAAATGTAACAAGTTATTACATTGAAAAGCTTGATTGGTTTTTTTTTTTTTTTTTATAATTATTGTGAGCAATCTTAAGCTTTTAAGTGATTTTGAAATATTTGTTTTCTGTTAGTCCAGAAAGCCATGTTCCTGTCTCCTTGAATTACCACCTGGGTGACATGTTTTTTGACCTATTAAACTTTGCAGCTGAGACCCTCGTCCTGGGCGGAAGACTAGTCTATTGGTTACCAGTGTATACTCCAGAGTATGTACTCTTTGTTTTTAATATCTTTTTCTACAGTATTTGCATGTTTTAATGATCCTTGTTTCCTCATCTCTAATTTTTCTCATGTTTTTATATTTAATATTTATCAGTAGCTTTGGTTTGCTTATATACAAGTAAAAAAATAGTTCTCTTCCTCTTAAAGGATTTTTTTTTTTGGACCTTTTAAAGTAAGGCATTAGCAAACCATACCCTTCGAGCCAGATATACTTTTCATACTGCTTTTATGAAGTGGTTGAACTAAGACCACCTTTTACATTAACAACAAAAAAAAGTTAGAGGCTCACAGAAGGCTATGTGACAGAAAGTCTTGACATAATAATTCCAATGGTAATGCCAGCACTTGGAAGATATGGATAGGATGGTCAGAGTTCAAGATCATCTGCACCTACCTCCTGAGTTCAAGGTTAGTCTGGGCTACATTAAACTATATAGAATAGTTTAAGGAAACACATGTTCCCACAAAATCAGAACTATTTGCATTCTGGCTCTTTGCATGAAGAGTTTGCCAAGCCTTGTTGTACACCACTTAGCCCAATGTCTGGTACATCATGGATGTTCAGTAGCTGCTGACAAGTGTACAGAATTAAAATTTATCTGATTTAAAAATTTATCGGAGTAACTCATATGTCTACTGCCTCTAATGCAGGCTTTCTTTCATGTTTGTTATGACTACCATAAATGCAATAAACCTTTCTTTCTTATAAGCTCAGACCAAAATAAAACTCATGCATCTATTTAAAGCTCTGTTTTATGTTCAACAGGATTGGGTTTGTTACTCAGTAACTGTTAACTGCTGAATGGAGCTATGTACAACAATGGTAGAACATAAGGTGTTTGAATAAGTTTTGAAGCATTAAAGGGGTCTAGAGAGAGGTTTAGTGGGTGAAAGTCTGTTTAATCAAGCCTGATGATTTGAGTTCAGTCATTGGGACCTACATGGTAGAGGGAGAGAACTGACTCCCTAGAGTTTCTCTCTCTCTGTTTCCCTCCACCCATCCCTCTCTCTCTTAAAAGGATAGAGTCTTAGGTTTACAAGACAGTGTTCAGATTATGGTTTAGTTATTTCTTCAATCTGCCATAGGAATCTTTTTTAAAATGTAATTATTTGCTGTATAACCTTGTTTAAAAGCATTTGAGGACAGTGGAAGCAGTGGTAGGTTAGGTACCTTAGGATGTGGACGCTTTTTTGTTTATTTTATAGACAATGTATTTGAAGTGATTTTGGCTGAGCTTTAGTTATACATTTACTTATCGATTAATATGTACTTTTATCCATGGTATTGAACACTGGCTTTATGTTTTCTTAGAGGTTTAGAGCACTTGTTACTCTTGCAGAATACCTAGGTTCAAGTTCCGGCACTTCACCTAGGTAGCTTACAGTTGCCCTACCTCTAATTCTAGGGGATCAGATGATCTCTTTTGGCCTTTGTAACCAACCACTAGGCACGAGCCTGAGTACACATACACTCGTATGTATAAAATGAAAATAAATAAATAAATAGATGTATGTAAAGGAATTAAATCTAATTTAGTCCCTTTATTTTAGAAAATGAGGAAAATTATTTTCAAGAAGTATTATACATTATCTAAAATTCAAAACTACCCAGCTAATTGCCCTTCTTATTCCCAATGGTGTGTCCTGCTATCTGGTCTGTGCAGCGATAGGTAGAGATTTATTAATATTTTCAGAGAGGGAGGTAGTTGCTCATTTATACGTGAAATGGTTGTTACTAAGCAGAGTATTCTAAGTTATCCTTACATTTCTCCCTTGGAAAGTGTGAAGCTTTTGCTAGCAGTCTGTTGGGGTGTTCCACCTGCCTTTTTGTTTTCTTTTGCAGTGTGCTGCTTGAAAAGCTAGCATTCACTTGCTATCTCTTAGCTTTTTCTCTTCTATGTGTGATAGAAGGAAGCTACTTTTTGTTTTAATTCAAGTTGCAGACCTAAAAAAGAATTTCTGAAAGACATTTCAAAATTATAGAACATTTAGAGTATAGTACACACTCCTCCTTCATGCACACTGTCCAATTACTAGCACAGATGGCCTTTCCTCCATATAGTACACACCCATGTCATTAATCTCTTCATTTTGCTTTGTTTTCAAGACATGGTCTCCTGTAGCCCAGGATGGTCTTGAACTCCTATCCTCCTATGTCTTCCACCCAAGTGCCAGGATTATAGATGTGTACCCCTATATCTGGCTATATTCTTCTCTTCTGAACCCATGTGAAAAGCTATGAGCAAAAGCTTTCTACCCCTGCATACATCATTTTGTCTTCCGGTCTGCTACCAACTGTTCAGTAAGTGTGGAAGCCAGCATTGGTACTGCAGTGCTGTCTGCTTCTTCCAGATTTTATCTGCTTCGGTTCTTCCAGGACAATGTGCTTGCTGTCTTACCTTTTAGTTTGTCAAGGTCTAGGATATCTAGCCTTTGTTTATCTGGTTTCATAGTTTCCATAGCTAATATTTTTGGGGTTGATTTTTTTTTGTTGTTTCTCTGTTGCTGTGAAGACATACTGTGACCAAGGCAGTTTATAAAAGAAATCATTTGATTTGGGGGTTTGTGGTTCTTGAGGGTTAGGATTCATGATTCTCAAGGTTGGGAGCCTGGCAGAAAGCAGTCAAGGAAGGCGTGGTGCTGCCACAGTATCTGAGACCATCCCTCTTCTCCTCAAGCTGTGGGCAGAGACAGACACATAGAGAGACAGAGAACTCTCACTAGGGCTGGTGTGGGCTTTGGAAGCCTCAGTGCCTCCTCCTAGTGACCCACCTCACCCAGCAAGGCCATGTCTTCTCATCCTTTCCATATTGTTTCAGTAACTGTGAACCAAGCATTCAAATATATGAGCCTATGGGGACCACTCTCATTCAGGCCACCACAGCCCTCACAGGATGATTTCTCTGTTGTCTCCTTGCTACATTCCGATGTTTGCAGGTTTATTATTCACAACATCCACTGCCTGAAGATGATGCCAAAGCAGAGCATAGATTGGGCTCCTGATTGAGGCCAGTTGTTTGCTCAGGTTCCACAAATCCATAGAAGTTTCTTACCTAACTTCATTTTGTGTGCTAACTTTTAAACTGGCTAGAAAATCTCTTTGTGGAAGATAAAATCCACCCACTGGTGTTGGTGATAAAAAATGATGGCGTCATGGCCAGCAAGATAGTTTAGGGGGTTGCTTGTATGAGCAAAGCTTGAGCACCAGAACCCATGTGGTAGAAGGAGAAAATTCCTGAAAGTTGTTCTCCAAGCTCCACAGGTGTGCTTTGCCACTTGAATGCACACACTCACAGAATAAATAAAAATGAAAAATAATGTGATGACACAAATATTAAGACTTAATATTATATCCCATAACCATACGTTAAAACTGTCAAATAAAGTATGGGAGCTGGAGATATGGCCCAGCAGCTAAGAGTGCCTGCTTCTCTTCCAGAGGACTAGAACTTAGTTCCCGGAACCTCCACTGGGCTACTCTTCACTGGCTTATACCTTCAGGTCTGGGCCTTCTGTGGCCTCCAAGGAAACCCACACATAGGTCATACATTTAGACACGGACACGTAAAAACAAATGGCCACCAAGCGGCTTAGTCACCTGTCTTAAATTAAGATTTTGGGAATAAATGTTAATGTAGTCATGAAGTTTATGGTGGCTCATCTCAGTGAAGAGACCATGTTTCGTCTTTTATCTAGGAGTCAGGAAAGAATGAGTTCTTGAACATGTCAGTGTTCAGTAAATTCACAGTGAGATTGATAACATTTAGAAAGAAATTAAAGTTTTTAAAACTTAATTTTATTTTTATTAATTATAGTTAGTTCACTTTGTATCCCAGCTGTAGCCCCCTCTTCTACCCCTCCTAATCCCACCTTCCTTCCCTCTTTTTCTTCTATGCCCCTTCCCAGAAATTAAAGTTTTACAAGGGAAAGACTGACTATGAAAAGTGATTCATGAAAAAGCGAGGGGCGTATGTATATAACTATTTTTGCTAGTAAAAAAAAAAAAAAAAGCTGGGATGTAACTTGTATTCATGCAACCCCCACTCTACACTTTTCTCTCCTGTGGTTTGTAGTATTTATGCAAAGTTGTGCAAACATGCCCACCATAAACACAACTGCCCCTACAGTAAACATTTTCATTGTCTCCCAAAGAAATCCTAGTGTGGAACCACCCTCCTTCTATTTTTGGCAACACTGTTCTAAATCTGTGCGATTTTCCTGTTCGGGCTGATTTTAGTTTTCAGTGGGTAACTTAAATTATAGGGAAATAGTAATTTAAAAAAAAGGTATTGTTATTATTGTCTAGGCAAAGTACAGATTTGTTGTGAAATAGACTGTGAGTGTTCACTGAAGCTGTTTTTAAGCTGCTGTAATTTTTTTTCAGTTTGTTGATTTGGAAGTACGTTTTCCACTGATTTCGTTATTCATATATAGAGTTTGTTTTCCTGTGGTTTCTACATCTGGTTTCAGCCAGTCTTCAATGAGAAATGGAGTTTGTGGTATAATAGTTTTATATGTACTGAACTCAGACTTTTTATTCTTGCATTCCCAAAGCAGTGCAATATAGCAAGTAGCATTTATGTTTGTGTTATGTATTCTGCATAATCTAGAGATGACTTAAAGAATACAGGATATTATTGTATTATTTACTATTGTAAATATCTCCTAGTTTGGATGACTCCATGGATTACGGTATGGGGAGGGAGGTATCCCTACAACCAGTCTATAGATACAGAGGACTCTAAGAGGCTACTGATAAGGTGGTTTTCTCAGTAATGATGGTAGTCCAAATAATATTATTTTATGGTGAAAACAAACAACAACAACAAAAGTCCAGTATATTTATATGCTGTTAAATCAAATGCTGTGGTTTGTGCCTACAAGGCCCCACTTTAAAAAGAAAACCAGCTACTGACAACTTTGGGGAATATTAGCATTATTTATGTTATAAATATTACTTAAAATTATTTTTTACAGATGGATTTGATTTATAAATGTGTTTTTTGTTTTATAGTTGCATAAGAGGCTTAAATATCAGGAATTTTATTTGTGCATATTTAAGTGACATTTTCAAAACATGACTCAATGTTAATAGAAGGTTTTTAAACTTCCTTAAAAAGTTAACATTCCTACATAGAAGGGTTGAGATATGAGGCCAGTTCAAGCTACATAGTGAGGAGTATGATCCTACTTAAATATAAAAGTGTACATTCTCAAGTATGCCACTGTTCTATACATCCATGGAGTTTGCTGTGTTTAAGCTTAAGTTCAAAGTTGTATTTTCTGTTTTTCTATTTTTAAATTTAGTCTCAGTCATGATGTAGACCATATTTATTCATATCATAGGTATTTTGTATGAAGATTCTAAATTTGATATGGACTAGTTTTATAAAAGTACATTATTTCTGGCTATAGAGCAAGTATAAATAATTTAGATGAGGAAAAAGTGGTCATGAGTTCCCTAGGGAATAGCAAAAATGACTTCAAGAGAATTCCTTCCCCTGATAGTGGACTCAAGTGTAGCATGAATGTGGCTTGGTGAGTGAGTGTCGAAAGTTTTGAGCATGTGATTGAGGCAGGGAGGGGAAGGTTGTTGATGGTCAGAGAGATAAGGAAAGGCCTGCAGAGTGGTGGTAAGGATGATGTTGACACATTGGAAAAGCTAACTGAGGTTCTTAGCCAGTACAGTTCCCATTTCGAATCCGAGCTTTAAGATTACGCATATAATATGTGTGAGCAGAGATTGTTCAGAAAGGCATGAAGATTTGCAAAAGAGAAATAAAAACTGCCAGCCAGTATTCTCAGGTACACACTTAGCGGGGCCCATCACTGCCACTCTTTTCACTCTGCTCAGAGTCACTGTTTTTTTTCTGCTAGGTTCTTAGTGTACCCACTGTCCTGCTTTCTAGGTGTCAGTCATCTTTGTTCATGGGCCACATTGCTCTATAGCAACACTCCCACCACTCAGAGTTCTAGCTTCAGTGTTACTTCCTAGTGAGTGTGTCCTGGGACAAACACGCTTGTCGTGTTTATGTGTAGTTCGTTATTTGAGTTATTGTATAAATAACTTTAGGCTTGTTTATATATCTGACAGAGGCCTCAAGGTGTCATTAACAATTTTTAGGGATGTTTTATTTTGCAGTGTAAAGTATATGCTGTTGTAGACGTAATGAAAATCTTCAGGTGAATCATCCATCTTGATTGTCAAGGGGTTGCTGAGGGATGTACTTCTGTCTGATCTGTGTTTATGGACCCTTAGGGTGTAATCATCAACTCGTAGTTTTGTGGTTTGTTTGATATTCTTCATTAAAGAATATCCTCTCATTTTTCCTATCATCTCCCCCCATCTGTTTCCTTCTCACTGTCTCCCACTGTCTGTCTTTTTATTCTTTTCAAGGGGCAAAATACTAAACTACATTTTTGGTGCTGTTACTTATAAAGTATTTTTAAAGTACAAGTAGATTGTTTATGGGTTGTGTGGAAACACCCTTGACCTCCACAATGCCTGTGTGGTTGTTCCTAACCATCAGCTCTGTCTGCAGGTACAGTGAAGAAATGGTGCCCTGGCACCCTTGCCTCGCACTTCTCAGCAACTGTGAACAAAAGCTTTCCGGTCACACAGCAAGACGTTTGATCACCATGGAAAAGGTGAAGGAGTTTGAGGTAAGTCGCCTTTGTGTTCTTAGTATAAACTCTGGAAGAGTCAAAATCAGATCTTTCTAAATAGTTTTCCTGAAGTAGGATGTGGAGATGTTAGGCTTGATTTTGGTAGTGTAGAGTAGTAGGTGAGTTTAGGAAGAAACCGGAGCTCAACTCTGCATTTGGTTGTGGCTGTGGTAGGAGTAGGATAGAGGGTTGATGAGTGGAAGAAGAAGCCTGCCCACGCCTTGGGCTTCATGTCCTGTTGCAGAAGCCGTGTGGGCGTGTGGGCGTGTGTGTGTGTGTGTGTGTGCGCGCGTGCACACAGGTGAGCATGTGTGTGTTTACACATACCACAGCTCACCTGGAGGTCACATGATACCTGAGAGACCTGGTTCTCTTCTACCATGTTGATTCTAGGGATTGAACTCGGGTCACCAGGCTTGGTGGCAAACACCTTTAACCAGCTGATCCACCTCACCACTGAATGCAGATTTTAATCAAGACAGTGATTCTTTATGTAAGAAAGAAAGTAAAATTTCCTCATTTATTAGGTGCAGTGTCAGTGATCATAGTCATCCATTCTGATATTCTCATTGTCTCTCTCTCCCTCCCTCTTTCTCTGTCTTTCTCTCTCTCACACACATACATATACACACTATATTTAAAAGTTTGAGAAAGAGTTTTAATAACATTTATTACTTTCCAGTTTAGAAGTGATGTGAACAGTATATTTAATGAAGCTTTAGTAACGTGACAGAACACTGTTGGTGCTGTCTTTTTCTGGACTGACAGGCTTTCCCAAATGTCCTGGCTGTTTGGACAAACCCTGTCTTTGAGCAAACTGCAGAACAGGGTAGTTGTGTCTGCATCTTTTGTAAGACCCATCTCTACTCTCCATTTGATGGATTATCATCTAATTTATATCTTAAAGGGCTTTCTCAGTAGTAATTTATATCCTGCCTTTTGTGTCTATCACTTTGAGTCTTTAGTTTAGAGCCTTATTACAACATAATTTGTTTACACTGACAGATCTGAATCTCTTTCCAGATCTTATTTATATCTGTTAAATACTCCATTTATGTTACTTTATGCAAAATGTTTTAGTTATTTTTATTATTACAAAATGCTTATAGTTTTCACCATGGTATAAAATATCCTCAATAATCAGGCTCAAACCAAGACTCTTGAGGAAATTAAGCTAGTCATCTAGATACGTAGTTGATGTTTATCCACTAGCTGTGTGGGTGTTTATATGCATGGATGTATAGATATATGTGATTTGATGAGAATGCATGGCCACTGCCGTGCATTAGGAAAAAAATGCCATGCATGGTTAGAAAGAAAAGAACAAAACAAAACCTGTTCACAGTCCAGCCTCATCTATCCAAGTTCATAGTCAGATGATAGAATCTGTGGAATGGACATGGTTTTCAGTGGTTTCCTAAAAGTTTATTTTATGTATGTACATTTAACAAGGTATATTATTACTAAGCAATTGTATCGTAACAGCTTATCTTTCCTCAAATAATATTACACATTTTAGACAGGATAATTTACCTAATTAAGGTTCTCTGTGGAAATCAAATTCCCATCTCAGTATCATGACTTTTAGAACATTGTCAATTCAGAAATTCCTAAGAGTGGCTTCTGTATCTATTGGCACAATGACAGCCTTCAAAAACGTCAGTTTCTAATCCAGCAGAAGCCCTGTTTCCTCACTGTCCACTGACTAATTGGTCCTGGCCACTCTGACTGAAGCCCACTGTCTGGTGGTGGTGATATGGTCAATCCTCCATGTACGAGCTAAACTTTGTTTCCCATGAGTTACTTGTGCTGTTGCTGGGGCTATTTGGCCCAGGTAGAAATATTGTGGTAATTATGTAATGTAGTTACATACTTGTTAGACAAGTGAAACATGAGTGTGATAATAGAGTTAGTATTTCTATACCAAATAGCTTGAGCGCTTTAGAAGACAAGATAAAATGAGTCACCAAGAAAGGTTTGGGAACTTACTAGATAGCTCAGTGGTAAGGGCTCTGGCCACAAAGTTCGTTACCAGAGTGTGATCTCTGGACCCACATGGAAGGAGAGATCCAGTGCTCACAAGGAGCCCTCTGACCTGAGTTACATGTTTCCACTGCCAGTGAAATAATTTAATAAATGTGGGTTATGAGTACACATATGAAGGAAGACTTAGTTGGGCGTGGAAGATGGTCACAGTTCAAGTTTATGGATTCAATTTGCTTTGTAAGACACTAAGTTCTTGATTCTCTTGCTGCAAGACAGACCTGGGGTTCTATACGTTTGATGCCATAAAGACTGGCAAATTGTTGAATAAAGCAGTACTTATACACAAATAGGGTATTGTAAATTTCAGAAATTTCTCATATTTGTGGAAGTGGAACATGGAAAGGTTGGTTTCTGGTGAGATCTCTCCTCGTGGCTTCTGTGTGTTGAGACCTGCTGTGCTGTCTCTTTCTCTTATCACTGAGATGCCAGTCACACTGGATTAAGACCCTCCCCCCCAACATGGCTTCTTTTACCCTTTCTGCTTCAAATGCCCTTTGCCTGTCACTAACTGTAGGTTTTGAAGTGGGGCTGGTTTAACCCTAGTGCTAACCATTGTCAACTTGACAGGTCACATGGCGCTGGTTGCTTTGAGCAGCTTTTTCTTCCAGGCAGTAGGCTTTTCTTTTGGTATGTTAAGGGAAGTGAGGCATGGGTCAATCAATAGTAGTCTACAGCTTCTATAAACTAAAGAACTTAACATAATCATTTGAGTTAGTAATGATATTTGTTACGTGCCAGGCACAAGAGGGATACTTATACAAGACAGAACTATCACTTGTAGATGTTATAGTTTTCATTCTTATAAGCAAAAAGCAAAGTAGATGACATTAACTTTCTTTATGACATTGCCTATGTAAATATCATTCCTACATAAATTGTGTTCCAAAGAATTACCTAGTCATGGAGAAGATTCTCATCCATTTGTATTTTTATGGAAATTAAAATAAACAATGCACTAGCATGTTGTGTGCGCCGATTTCCTGTGTACGTTCTCCTGAGTTTAGTTTAAGAAATCTACTATTTTCTTCAATGTTTATGTTTCTGTAAGCAAATTTATTTTAAAGTCAAGGAAAATTCTCTTTTGAGAGATCTTGTTGGATATTAAGATGATGAATAATCTCACCCTCTTCTGATGTTTTCAGCCCTATAAAACAGTGCTAGTTCCGGCCTGGCTTCCTGTTTTCATTTTACTTTTGTTCTTGCCTGAAACTGGCGTTAGGTTCGTGCGTCTGCCCGTGCGTGCATGTGTATTGCATGAGACAGGGTCTCACTGTATAGCCTTGGCTGTCCTGAAACTCATGCGTTGATGAATCTGGCCTCCAACTCAGAGGTCAGCCTGCCTTTGCTTCCTAGCGCTGTCTCTACTCCACCTGGATGAAAGTGATTTTCTTGTAATAAGGAAAAGCCTCCTAAGATGGCCTTAATAAGTCTTACCTGATGTGGGATTTACTATTGATGTCTTATTAATATGATACTCTGTCGTGTTTGTTTTTAATTCATTGCTTCACTTTTGCCTTCTGTTTCTTGCTGAGGAATGTTTGTGATTACATCAGGATTGCAGCCCTTTATAAAACAGGCAGACACAGAACTGTCAAACAGTTGTCACATGTCTGACAAACTGTTCTCAGATGTGTTCAGTGCTGTTGTTTTTGGCAGTGGAAGAACATTAATTTTACATTTTACACTTCATTACTGTGACCTTTGCTTTTGTTACTTGTTAGGTCTAACTTCAGTTCGAAGTTCAGCTTACTCGACATGCTGTTTAAGTGTTCTCCCACCGTTTAAAATGTAGAGATAAGTATGTTGTCAATTATTAATATTACTGATTTATCTCTTAGTTAAGCAGTGGTTATCTCTAAACCAGCTGTATACTCAAATCAGAGACTAGAATTTATTTAATTAACCTAGAACACAATGCTGGGCAATGATTACTCAACCCTAAACTCCAAACCCACATGGCTTTCTCCCATTCAGATTTGACCCATTATACTTGATTTTAGTCATATCTTAGGTCCGGTTCATCTCTCCTCATGGTTCCAAGTTCTCTCCTGCCAACCTCTTCTCTCCCACTCCTCCCACTCACTTTCTTCTGTTCCCCTCTGGACCAGGATGTCCCACCCTATTCTCTCCATTGCGCAGCATTGGCTGGTTGCTTTATTGAAATTACAGAGAACAAATGGTAGCATGTTTGCACAAAGTTTAGACAGGTGATGCTTAGAATAAACATCACAGTACAATGTCTGGATTGAAACCAGATAGAGGGGTGGAGAAATCAGCATTTGAATGAACAAGGATAAACTGTATACATTCCACAAGAACATTATACCAACAAAGTTATAAGGATTGTCTAATGCATATGAATTTTTTTTATCTTTACATTATTAGCTGTTGCTTTAGACTTGTTTTTTTGTTTTGTTTTTGAGTGCGTAGTGAAGGGGTTTTGGATAAACACGAATCTTATGAAGATTCCTGAAATGAAGACTCATCGTTTGTTTATTAATATTCTTCGTTGATATATTCTTGACAATAAATAAAGTGCCTTTTTTTTCAGTGCTTGTTTATAAGTGTTCTTATCCATTTGAGTTTATTTTCCCATTTAAGAGATGGAGAGCCTTTAGTGCACTGATGACTAAGTAGTGAACAGCAAACGTAAAAACAGAATTCATCTTTGTCTTTGAGACTTGACCCTTTTCCTGCATCACACTGTCTTTTACCTGGACAGAGTTCTGCCTTTTGATCATGCTGAAGTAAAAGGTCTCTGTATGCTATGTAGTAACAGGGTGTGCCTGTCTATCATGTGCAAGAAAGACCTGTGGGGAAATTTCTTCTACCTCAAAAATGAATAAGAAGCAAGTGTTCCTAAGCATTGAATTCTTAGCTTCTTTTTAGCATACTCTTTCTTTCTCCCGTTGTTTTTAGCCAGTGTGCTCAGCATGCCATTTCAGACTATA